CAAACAGATCAAACACTCGACTGTCAATACCATACGACATATATGGAATGCAATCACTGAAATGAAAAGATAAGTACCAGCATGTATTGAACATCAAATCTATTTAATTAATACTGAAAATCAATGAAATATTTCATTTAAATACACCCAATTATTTATCTTTATATCACATACTAGCTTCGCCCGCGTGGAGTTTGGTTATATCGCGTTTCCAAGAGTACCTTTCAAAAGTCTGGGATAAAAACTATCCTATGTTCTATCTCAAGGTCAACTCTATCTCTGTACCAAATATCATTAAAATCAGTTCAGTGGTTTAAGCGTGAAAGCGTAACAGGCAGACAGACAGAGTTACTTTCGCATTTATAATATTAGTAGGGATATATAAATAGATGTTGTCACAAAGATCCAAAGCGTTTAATGCCCATATAATCACGAAAAGCATCCATTGACTATTGAGATATCCCCATCAGTGGTAAATGCTTCGTCTCTTTGTTAATTGCTTTTCATTACTAAACCTAAAACCCACATAACGGTCTAAACACATTAATGACTCATGTCTGTAATACAAAAGGCTCTCAACGTTATCATATGCTCTTGTTAGACGTCAACGTCAAAGCTTTGTACAATACTCTCAGCATAACCTAAATTATTCATATACAGATTATACATATAAATAAATTTCTTCGTAATCATATAATATTATTTGTATTACTATGTAGAATTAATGAAATTAATCATTTATAACGATATAAAAGTTGATGATTTATTTGATGTCCCCAATATAAATTGAATTTGATGAAATTCAAATGGAAAATAAACTTCAAAAGACTCACAAACTTGACCCAATAAAAGCCAACATGGCAGCGAGATTTGAAAGGTCTTTCGATGTACAACTATTCTGTATCCCGGAGGTATTTGGTATTTAACTTGATATCTCTCGTGGAATAATATTCCGCAAAACTATGAGTAAAGTTTATCTATTTCAATATAATATATATTAAACTATGAATAACTAGATCTGTATTGCAGGCTTCTATTTCGTCACCACACCAAAACTATCATATGTAAAATTATAAAGAAACAATTCTGAGTATTATAAAGAATATTCCTAATATTGCCTGTTACTAAACGATAATTATCACAAATAAAGCTTCCAAAGATAATTCCCGGTAAAATGCAAATTGTCGTGCATTTCCGAGTCCCATTGAGTGTAGTATGAATATTTTACATAATAACACCTACCGATAAACATATTTGCATATGTTACGAAAAATTCTCGAGGTAATAGCGTTGAAACGAAATTGTTCTCTAGGCTGGAGATAAAAATGTCTGGGGGAGGAATATGAATACTTTATCAGAATATTAGACTCTTTGTCTAGTGTTATACTGAATTTTATATAACATTATGTGAAATTCGTGACTCATAAAAATATATAACACACCGAAATCTTACCTGTATTTGACATGAATAACTAATGTACTCAAGTTATTCGTGGAAATCTTTAACCAAACAAGGGCATAGCGTCTAGAATTCTAGAATGTTCTCTTTACAAAACATCTTTCTTCAAATAAAGCGCAATAAAATACATATATATTATATAGATTTCTATATTATTTCAACCGGCTATCCTTGCAGAAAAATAATGTAAATATACCAGCTAAAAAATCACAATTACATAAAGTTAATCCTGTAGAAACAGTTTCTTGCTGAAACGCTCAACGTACTATTCAAAGGTAACTGTTGTGGGGTAAAAATATAATTGCAAAATGTCTCTTAACCCGGCTTAGGATACGTGACCGAACTCAGAGCTTTAATGAGGCTTTCCGACGTGAAATGTTATCGTTCTATGGTTATCGTTAGCATATCATTTTGTAAATTTTGTATTTGAAATAACAATGACATGTTTTATTGTTGTAACTTCTGTATGCTGGTTTAAACATTTACATTGTTACCGCAAATTATATTATCAAATTACATATGCACTATTTTGTATGAGCTATATGAGCGTGTGTGTGTGTGTGTGATCTGATTTGAATGCCTTTAGGTAGACAAATGTTTAATCATTATGGACAACATTTTAAACAAATTTTAATATAATATTTAGGTTAATAATTTCGATATTATGGTAAAGAAAGTGCACAGAATATTGCTTTCATGCAATAATATTTGATGGCACTCTAGAAGGCAAAATTCAGCAAGACGAATAACCACAGCAACGTGGTCTAAATTACCTTATAGATATTCCCAAAGCGTTTCAATATTATTATCATTATAGTTCAAATATAATATCATCTATTTCAATAAGTTATAATATTGAACGATTTTAACAAACTTATTTTGATTATAATAATTAAAAGACTAAAATACATTCTCATAGGTAAGAGCAAAATTTTTAAATTGAAATTGACTTTGTCTTATAACTTTATTACTAAAGTGTCTAAGAATGGATGTGAATATTATTTTAACACTATAGAGTATAGTGTATAGGTACTATAGTACCACATGTTAAAAATAATATTGTCTTATTTTTAATCTGTGATAAAAAACATATTGGGCTGTTTGTAAATGTCATTGAATTTGGCTGTACGCGCTTTATTCTGTTCTGAACGGAACGATCTTAACCAAAAAAAAAATGTCATTGAATTTACAATCAATACATACATATTTTTCTACAAATTAAATCTTACCACCTTAGTAATAAGCAATAATATATGATGAATCTTAATACCTTCAAACTCAAGACACTCAATCAAATGGTAGCTTACATAAGTTAGTAAACATCTGTTTGATGTTCGAGATTAATGGCACACTCAAGTTGCTTCATTAGAATGTTTACCTGATTCAATAAAACGATATGGCTGAATGCTCAGAGCTCACAATTAGTGCACCAGACGGAAAATTAGCCCGGGGGTAAACTAGATTGAGAGCGTGATTCAATTTACCCTTTAATTTTTAATATTACACCATAATTGCTGTTTTCGTTGAAAATACTCGAGATTGGAAATGCTTTATTGATATTTGGATAATAAATCATGTTTTTTACTCAGAATGTTATTTACTTTATGAAATCGAAAGTTAAATAGAATTTTTTTTAGAATATATAAAGTTATTTGTTCTTCAAAATGATTTTGTTTTCAATAGAAGTGCTACAGGAATAAATTAATTGCTAGTATGCTGATTAAAGGTTCATATTTTAACTAATATATTTCAACGAGTCACCGCCTAGTTTTTAACTAAGAAGCAAAAAATTGTAACTAAAAAAAAATAATAGTTTAGAAATTATTTCTTACAAAAATTTCAGAAATGAAAAAGCTCATCTTGTGACTGAACACTTTAATTAGTAGATAGACTTAAATATAAATGGAAAATTTATTTAATAATTATTATCTTACTATACTTATGAGAAGCTTTAAATTTATAAAAATTGTATGTTCTTAAATAAAATGGAAGTACTAGGGTGACATACATGTTGAGGAGTTTACATGAATTAGGTGTCGTATCAATCACGGAACGTTATTAGGAAAAAATTATTATAAAATTCTTTTGTTTTTACTATATAATTTATTCTTAAATAAAATGAAAGTACCAGGGCGACATACATTTTGAGGAGTTACATCAATTAGGCGGCGAATCAATCACGGGTAAGCGTATACATAAAACGCCTTTGTAACTCAATCATATGTAAATAATAGGTTTTCGCGTTACAATATTATGAATTCATATTAAAAAAAACACTCATACATATGTTGAAGTTATATAAGTACACTTGTATGATACGAAAGTCATGTATAATGAAAAAAAATACTAGAAATTATCGTGTTTTAATTTAGTTCGACTCTTAAACTAATGACGTAAAGCTACAAGGATACTTGAAGCGGCGGGCTGAAGCAGATACCCTTTTTAATGAGGATAGATTCAGGAACGGTGAAGTTGAAAAATAATACGTCAAAGCTAGGAAACAATGGTTGACTATTTTTTAATTATTTAGTCGCTGTTTTACAAAGTATATGTATTGGGTCGAAATATTTGATTGTTCTTTTTATAAACTAAAGTGGTGATGCTATTAATAGGTTTTATTTTCATGTTTTAATTATTAAGTGCATCGAAAATATTGGCGGTTGCTTTCATATTTTTAGTTAAAAGCATTTATACCGCAAGGACATTTTAGCTGAGTCGTACTCAAACCTATAACAATATATGCCATAATGGATATTTAATTTTAAAATCATATTTACCAAAGTAGGACATTACGTCATCAGCCTATCAGAGCCCACTGCTGAGCAAAGGCCTCTTCTCGCATGGAGAGGTTACAGCATTAATCACCACGCTTGCTCAAGACGATTTGATGATTTCAAACTTATAATTGTGAAATTATAAGTCCAGGTTTCCTCACGATGTTTTCCTTCACCGTCTGTCAGTGGTGTCTGAATATTCTTAGAAAGTACATATGACTTGGAAAAATCACATTGGTACTTGCCAGGATCGAACCCGCGCCCTCGTGCATGAGAGGCGGGCCCTTTAACCACTAGGCCGCCACTGACTTACTTACTGACTTATTTCTAGTAGGTCATTACTAAAACTGACGTCGCTAACACTTACTTATATTCTAACATTTCTTCAAGAGCAATACAACACCTTTGTAATAAAACCTCATCGTGTGGTTTCACATAAACTGGAACAAACGTTATAGATACGTGCTCATAAATATTCATACATTATAAATATTCAATGTGAACACACCTTATCTCGCTTGAATTCAGCCTTTCTTACGTGATGTATCCGTGTTTGAAGTAATGTGAGGTCGTTTTAAATTGTCAATCAACCTGTTCATGTATTACATTAATGTCGATGATGCATGAAAATAAATTACAATTAGATTAGAAAATTATTACTAAATAAAACCTCCTTCACTTATTAAGATATATTTTATTTATTTTGTACTATATTTCAGATATTTTCATAGTAAATTAAACAAATTTCTCTTTTTGTTACAGACGCCATGATCTCTATACGTCTGTCTGTCTTGTGGGCAGCTATTTTGCTCTTTGCTATCGCAAATGGGCAGACTGGTATGTATCTTTAATGATAAAAAAATCCTATATTTATCTATTCATAATTAATAAAATTTACTACTTCACTAAGTAGCTTTGCAAAATAATAATGTTAATGGAAAATTACTGATTTAAAAATCTGTTTACGAAATAAGCAACAAAAAATATGTGAACATAATTTTTTATTTTAACCTAGTTTTTATTTTGTTTTGTTTTATCTTAGTGTTATACCGTTTAGTTTGTATTTTAGTAAAAAAACAATGTTTTATACACCTGTAAAGGCAAATTATACTGGATTGAATATTTTGTGTTAGTTATTATGATAAGTCGATGGTGTATCTTAATAAATAAATAAATAAAAATAAAATAATTTTATCTAATTTTTATTAGATAAAGACAAGCGTTATCTAATAGTTTATTTGGTGGATGATAAATCTTTGAAATATTCTCAGAAACTGAACCGACTACCAGTGTGGCAACTAAGGCTGTGACCACGCTGGCTCCAACAACCGCTGCTTGGGAATCGGAGACTTTGAACGAGGGTCAAGCTATCCAGAAGGCTCTGCAATACCTCCTGAACCATCGCCAATCCGACTGGGGCTGGGGCAATGACACTCATCATGTCATGTTGACTTTGCAGGTGAGAGATTGTTCATATTGCTATCTTAATCATCAGCCTATCAGAGCCCACTGCTGAGCATAAGCCTCTTCTCACGTGGAGAAAACTTGAGAATTAATCACCACGCTCGCTCAAGACGAAATGGTGATTTCTAACTTATAATTTGAAATTATAAGTCACTCACGATGTTTTTCTTCACCGAGGTGTCTAAATACTCTTATAAAGTACATAGGGCTAGGAAAAATCGCATTGGTACTTGAAAGGTTTTGAACCCGCGCCCTAATGCACGAGAGGCGGGATTTTAACCTCTAGGCCACCACGACAAAGTGCTAATATTAAACATTATATTGACGTATGTATTCATGTTTTGTTATATAAAATCTCAAAAATAAGATTTCATTCAAACCAAAACAAAAAAGCCTTCCAGACTTAAACTAAGTCCACAGTAAAAATTTTAAATCCACTATTTAAACTTGCTGCTGTATATATATAGGTAATAAATTATATTTTTCTTAATACATATCGTTGTTGCACGTGCTTATATAAAAAAAATAAATGAAATTGGTTTTCCAGTGATATAGTTAAGGGAATTAACTTCATAGGTATATAGTAATAAAGTTGAAAAGCGCAGATTAAATTTTTGCTATCTAATAATACTGGGAATCCTTATGAGTACCTCATCATCTCGATATTGAAGTCACGAGGATAAATTAAATACCTTTATTCCTTTGACGGTTCTTTGTAGATGAGAATAGAAACTAATTTAATTGATTCACTCTAATCCCTCAAAGAAGTTAAGTCCTAGTATAATGTTCCGCATTATAGAAAAGTGGAACTGCTTCGATTAATTCTTCACTATAACTAATCAGTATTATGAAAAGATTAAAAATACTATAGTGGTATTAATTTTTTAATTCATTTAGAAATATAATCTGTGGCAGCGTTCTCACTTATAAGAGAATATAAAATGGTTTATAATAACCACATAAACTTCGAAGCTCGACCCGAAATATATGTTACAGATGTAGAGTCAGCGAATCAGAAATTATGCATACAAAGAATTCGCTTACCCTACGAAAACGACGCAAAATACCGAAACTAAAAGAATGTGTCCATTCAAAAATGCTAACCTTTTCACTGGATAACATATTCAGGCGGAGAGTTTTGAACAATTTTATGAAACATTCTTTCTTTTCAATTTGATTCCAATTTTAAATTTATTCCAAATATCTCTTGCAATTTTCCGTTATTTTCCTTCTTTCATTGAAAATTATTTTGAAATTATGAATAATAGAGACTAAAAAAAAGGAGACAACAAGAAAAATCTCCTGATTTTTTGTATATCTTTTCCTTTGTTTTGAATGCTTTAGAATATTTATCGAAATTAAATGTCATATCCGTTTCACAGTTAGCAAATAATACTGGCAAGGAAATAGAGCAACAAGGATTGGAGATGCAACTGTCGGCTAAACAAATGGAGATTGAAATCTTGCTCATGATGTCCAAGTAAGTAATAGGTTAAATATATTTGACCTAACTCTAAGTAAATTTAAATGTTCAAAAGTCAATTTATTACATCATAATTACGAGTTTAAAATTATAGGCAATTTAATAGATGAACTTTAAGATAAATTTTTTAATACGATAATGTAAACATGTAAAAAATATGTCTGCTAACATTACAAGTCATAAAAAAACTTCCAAATATATATAAGAATGTATATGTTATAAAGATAACTACAGAATGTGAAGGAAGCCGCTCGCACAATCAAATTTGCAATAAAATATAAAGTATCCACTAAAGGGTAAATATACAAGCGTGGGACGAAGAAAGAAATACAAGATGTTTCGTATAGAAGCACCCAAGAGATACCTTTCACTTAAGATAAGACAACGCCTAAACAGTTTTCTTTTACGCTATAACTATAAAATAAAAAGCTGGGATAATCATTTATTAAACATCTTCAAAAATAGGAATACTATTTAGAAATAGTATATGTATAAATGAAGTGAAATGAAAATAAATGAAGTGTTTTTAGATAATTATGTATAATTAAATTGACAGGGGAAATAGCGAAATAATATGTATGGTATTGGATTATAGGCAGGTTAAGAAACACTTAATAATGGCTGTATAAACGCTTGTTTATACGTTTAAAGCTTGTTTTATGTATTACGTGAATGTGGCTTCGTTAATTAAGTTTAAACCATAATGCTGAATGTTTACAAAACATGACATGACATTGTGACATAATCATTACTTTGAACGTATTATCAGAAACAATGAATTTATCGATCTAAATTTCAGACATATATTATAATAATAGGATATAAGAGAGTTTGTCGTCGAATTTAATTGAATTTTCGTACTTCCGTAACTTCCGTAACATCCGTAACACTTCCGTAACACATCCGTAACTTCAGTAACACATCCGTAACTTCAGTAACATTTCCGTAAACACAGGCACCACGAGTCCCCTCCCCCGCTAGGGCGTCTTGCTGCCTACACGCTAGCCCTGGGAGCGCTCTGCAAGGATCCTCGCTCTTTCCACGGAAGGGACCTGGTCGCTGCTCTTTTACATCGTGAACCACCCCATGACCTCGAATTCGCTTACGCCACTTTGGCAGCCTGCTCGTCAGCTGCTCACGTAAGACGCCGCCACATCAGGAGACTCCTAGATATCGCTAACGCTGCAGCCGATCATAGCCTCGGTAGGTTTTAATAAACTTTAAAAAAATTAAGGGTGAACAAACCATATCATTTAGATTTTAGAGGTATGAAAAATGGATAATATCCAATTAGCAGACCTACTGAATACACATATGAAAGTTGCTAAAAATCGGTAAAGCTGTTTCAGAAGAGTACGGTAACTAACATCGTGATATGGAAATTTTATCTAATAGAAGTAAAATAAGCATATAGTACCCAACGAGTTGAGCAAATAAAAAAAAACACAAATATATTTCATGTTTTATATCTCGCTGGACCATTTTATGCGTGTGTTGATAATGAGTTTCACTTTCATCCATCAGATACTATATCGATGGTGATCCTGGCTCTCCGCTGCGTGGTTCAGGATCATCGTCACCGTAGCCTGATCCATTTCGTTCGTCGTCCCATGGCCGGTTTGGCTCGCCAGCAACATCCCGATGGTAGCTTCGGATCATTGACAACCACTGCATTGGCCATACAGGTATGTTTAGAACAATCTCGTCTCAAATTATTACGCATTAATGTTACCTAATCAGCATTAGATTTTTGGGTATATAACAATGTATTTGTACGACAATCAACACTAGCTGATGTTGCAATTCATTAAATTAATGTATACCTAAATGAAATTTATATTTTAATTTCACATACAGACGAGATGTGTGAAATCTTCTCGTCTGCCCGTGATCACGGTTGCTGCTAAGTTACCGAATATCGGGAGTTCTTATACAGGGTGACTGGTGAATTACTATCGATATTTGAGGACGTGATATTTGACGATCATATATGACAAAATAAAAATTAATATAACATAAATATTAATAAACTTCTAAGTAAAGTTAACCAAAAGTTATGTAATTAATTACGCATCGTATGAACACCCTACAGATTAGGTATACACACACACACACACACACTCCCGCGCGGCGGCGTGTTGTTGTATCATCACGCCGCCGCACGCGTCCACACTTGGAACACTTGGAACGTGTCCACACTTTATTTATTTATACGGAAATTTGGTCAAAAATTAAGTACCTATTTTTTTTACATAATTCGAATGAGAATCATGTACCGAGTATGCTCCTTAAATATTGATAGTAATTCACCAGTCACCCTGTATAGTTATAAAACAATATAATAATAACAGTAATCCGAATATTAGTTTCATTTAAACGAATGCTCACGAAAGTCTCAGATCTCATTAATCTATACCTATCTATTAACAAAACCACATTATACACATCTCGTCCACCCATTATCATGGTTGCTGCGAAGTAACTGAAACGTCGGGAATATGTAGCTATAACTTATAAACCAAAAGAAAATAACAGTAATCCAAAAATATTAGTTTCATTTATGTAAAAAATCGCGAAAGTCTTTGACTCACGTTTCGCCCGTCCATGATCACGATAGCTGCTAATTGCTAAGCAATCGCAACGTTAAAAACATGAAATAGAATAACGTGTAGTAACCCATAAAAATTGTTTCATTTAAACGAATTTTCGCGAAATTCTTTAAATTCAGTCATTTATTAACAGAATAAGAATATTAACGCTAAAATTATTCCAGGCTCTGGAAGATTCCGACACAGGTCCCGGTGCCCATCAACATTGGAGTCTGCCCGCTGCTCGTAAGTGGCTCCTGGAGCGTCAATCATCTGATGGAGGTTGGGGCGATGCTGCCAGTACAGCAGCCGCTGTGGCCGCTCTCACACCGGCATCACTGGCCGCTGTTAGACCGCCGCATTGCAGCGACAAACTGCTCGATAGTCGCCACGAACCACTAGGTATGAGATACTATTGACCTTTACTCGAGTGAAAGGTTACATTAAGAAGTCTATGGATTAAGTTAGCCTTATAAAATGTAATGTTCGTGTTGTTTTATAGCATAGAAGGGAGTTTACTATTTGTGAAACGAAATAACAGTCGATGGCAAATAAAAGCTTCAGCATTCGTAATTCAGCAATTGTAATGTTTTCTGCTTGTTACGAGTAATACAAAATATTAGGCCCTCTATTACAAAGTATTGAAAGAAACTAATACGAAGATTACTTTTCAATCACTGAACTGAATTTTGATATGAATTAATTTGAAACAATATTATCCTGAATGAAGTATACAGAATAACAAATGTCGACAAACACATTATATAAATCGTGATTCCATTAAATTGAAGATGACACGTTTGAATTAATAACTATAGAGATAAACATCTTTATTCCCAGACAACAACGGCGGTGATGGAACTCTGAAGTTGGCTTACCAATCCCACTCTACAAACGACTCGGATGCTCGCAATGTTTCCTTCACCTACACTCTTTGGCTCGGCACCAACGTTACTGAGAACTACACCCTGTATATGGTTGCTCCGAGGTTAGTAAACATTACTAGTACCGACCTAATAAACTCACATATAAACGAGTTTTGTACTTTTTATCTCATATAATATGCATACGCAGTGACTGTTTTGTACTAAAGGAATGTTAAAATCAATTAATACTGAAGCAAAACTACGAAATTCACGTGTTCAATATACAAGTTGTTATGTTAGGTCAGAGTTTTAGTCCTGTAATTGAACTATATTTAAAAAAACTATTCAACAGGAACATTTCCTTCTACCACGTGATGCAAATGGCGGCTGAACAGGAACCGAAGTTCAAATTCGAAGCCAGCGAATGGCCCAACGGTCACTACGTTCACACCCTAGCTGGTCACAAGGAAGAACCGATGGGATATCACTACTGGCTGCTGTACCGTCTGCCAGAAATACCTGACCCCGCCAGCCCTCCCGGCAACCAACTTGTCGCTCCTGTTGGTAAGAAATGGTTACACAAACCCCCAATAAGAAACAAAATACCAAATAAGAGTTCCACACAAAAGGTATCGGAAGGAAAGGATATATGACTTCTAGATGACTTAGAAATACCGTGGAACTTTCCCCAGGAATGTGCTTGGTAAAATAAAGTACAGCTTAGCCTATGGTCATATTTAAGAAATGTCCAATAAAAGAACTTTAATTCAATTCTCTGTATTATATAGGTTTTGTTAATATATAAAAAGTATCCAAAAAATCTTCAAAATCCCAAGGATTTGCTAGATTTATTATAGACCATAAATATATAAAACTGACGTTCTGTTTATTCCAGGTGTTGACGACTTGATGGTGGAAGACGGAGAACATTATTTGTTCTGGTACAAGAAACTGTAAACCAATACATCACAATGGTATTATGATTTTAATTTGGAACGTGTACTTTCGATGCACCTTTTAACGTATGAAATATTAAAACAATTTTAAAATTTAATTCTCCCTAGACACGGTTACTGTTAACCAAATTCATTCCAAAGAGGTTTGACAACCCATACATAATCATAATCTTAGAATTAGATATTAAATTTAATGGAACTTTTAAAGGCTAATGCCGCCTCTATTTTAGCTGAACAGCACAGAGGTTTACTCATTACCAAAGAATAGAAATAGTATAGTTTTACTCTCTTTTTATCTCTAGCTTCTGACGTGCAATATTTAATATATGTCGACACAGTTAAAAATAACGTTTAAACTTTTAAAGTAGTATTTAAAATAGTTATTTGTCTCCTGCATTTCCTTATTGAAATCTCTTTATAATATGCATTCTTGTTAAAATGAAATAGATTTGATCAAGCTCTGTCACCGGTGGTTTAAACCGTAGTTGACCGTCATACCAATATAGACCTTAACAACAACTGCTTTGAGTCGATTCTTGTAACATAGCGGTAGTTAAGAATACATATATCAATAGATTTCCTTAATATTATCTTTTTAGGAGACTGAAGTGACTATCGTAGAACATTTTTATTGTAACTACGTCGTTCTTAATAAATATTACTAATAAATTGGTGTTTTATTTAAATTTCCCATTTCCCATAGACTTTTTTGTACTATTAAGTATGTAATAAAATGCTTACAGCTACATTTGATCTTCACATAAACATTTGTTGATCAAATTTTGTTACTCCAAATATAACGACACTATATGTGGACATTATTATTTAGTGAATAATCAGAATTTAACAGATAACAAATTATATTTACCATATTGATATAATAAAACTGGCATAAAAGAAAATGACTATGATAAAAAAAACAAAAATGAAATAAAAAACGATTAAATGTATTCAACATTTAATAAATTATATATAATAATGTATCTTAACTATAATTTATACATACAGTGCGAAGAAAGCTTATGCAATACAAGAACGTCCAAAGTTGAGTCGGTATAGATTCATAAAAATATCGTCATACAAAAACATGTGCTGTGTAAAATAATACTGGAAACCCTCGTATTATATGTAAAAAATAATAACTTTACAAAATACAATAATATTAAAAGTTTATGTAAACATTACAGACACGGTACAACAAACTAGAAATCTATTTTAGAATTTCATTCGGACATATGTCTACGACATACATCGTTAATATCATAACATTATACACATATATAAATTGAAATTACATATAAACATTTATTATTTAGATTTACCTAATATATAGGAATTTAAATTATTGAACAACCGCTGTTAATGTGAGAAGAGATAATCAAATGAAACGGCTCATTGAAATTAGTATAAAGATAGATAAATATACATATATATGTATATATGTAGGAAGAGTCAAATTGATATCTCTAATAAAACATTTATATATAACTCGATATATAATTTAAAACGATTCAATTATAATCTTGTTTGTTATTGTCATATTATTGGTGTCAAGATTGTTCAATAAATTATTTACTTAACCCGACTGTTAGTACAAATAAAATGGACATTAGGACATCATATTAGGACCTTTCAACATATATAAATTTAAATTATACCAAAAAATTACATATTATTCAGTAAATATATATAAAAACTTACATACACAGAAATATTTTTTTGTATAAATTCATCACTATACAACAATATTTTTCAGTGCAATAAATACAGTATGGTAAAACAGGTATAATAATTAAAATTAATTAATTCATATAAGAAAAAAAGAGAATTACATATTTTCATACACATCTCGCTCTTTTGAGGCACATTTTTGGTGGTAATAATTTTATTATATACATATTAATTATTATACATATTAAAAGGAATGTAAAATGTCTTGATAATATTTAATTAATTATAACATAATAATACTATTATTAAAAAAAACTTGGGATCACTGTATTTTGCACTGCACTGCCATTCTACACAACCGCAGTATATTTGATGTAAAATCATATATATAACGAATTTTTACAGTCACAAAAAAATATGTATATTACTATTAAAATTTGTGAAAACAAAAAATATATACTTGTCCTTTGAACCAATCATAAGTCATAATAATTTGTAACTGTATACAAAACAGGCAGAAAATCTTATTTATTTAATATACATATATATTATTATATGTATATACTATATACTACATATGTATATAAGCTTATGACTGGGCCAGTCTGTTCATGACAGTTGTATATGCGAGTCCCAAAGCCCAGGATACCTCGTGACCGTTTATTTTCTTAAACAACTGAAAATAAAACACATTTACATATTAAATAAATAAATAAATTTATTAAATACTAAATTCATATTACATATAGATGTATATAATACAAATAGTAACATTTACTGCATTATTTGTTTGTCTATCTGTATGTTTGCTCCGGCAAATCGACGAAATGGGTGTACCGATTTTGATGGGAGTCTAACTGACCAATAACTGATGTAATAACGTGATTAAAAACTGAGCTGATAAAGATGAGGTTTTGGAATGTGTATAAGCAAATCAGTTTCTACTAATAACCACAGATTTATTATCATTTAGATTTGCCATGAACAAATAACTAATAACAATCACAGTATTATAAATTTTTTAGAGATGCCTTGAATACAACGAAACCATAACAACCACAGATTTAATATTATTTAGAGATGCCATGAACCACTAACTGATAATAACCACAGATTCATGAGACGAAACCTCTCATCATTCAATGTATTCATATGCGGGTGTCGGGTTAATCGTTGTAGTGAGAGGAGCTTCAACAGTGACTGGGACTTGCGACCCAGGTGTAGGTTTAAGTCCCTATCTAACTCGTTAAACGCTCACCTCTACTGTCCAAGCTCCTCTCTCCTAACCATATTTGAAAGCCTACTAGGGCTGACTTCGACGTACGTTCCAAGAATGAATTGATATTAGTTCTGGACAGGCCCAAGTCTTTTAGTAGGTTATAGAGAGATTTAGCCACTAACCGATATTGGCTCGGTGTCCTTTATCTTGTAAACCTCCTGCAGTAGAGTTACCACGTACACCAAGTCGATGCACGCCCACGGCTGGTCCACGTTGGATGCTGAGCACGCGCGGAGAGCACTCGCTCTATATTGAGAAACGGATACCGTGCCGCCGCGCATTACATCTGTAAGAATGTTAATGAAAATCCGAAAGATGGCGCTGACATTAATATTATATCAAACCAGTATACCATTTGATTGTCTGTTTGGTTCTTAAGTAAAATTTATATGGTAGCGAATGGGTATTGAAACGAGACTTCATTAAAAATACGTGAATGTTTTTTTTATGAGAAAGGTGGCAAACGAGCAGACGGCGTACTTGATAGGCTTGAAATTACCAATAATATATTTAACAACTAGCCTATGTCTATTTTTGATAAACTAGCATTCTGTTGGAAAAAATAGACAATGATGTTAGTAGTTTCGAAACTTCTCTGGTACCAACGAAAAAATTTTCTGATTAATTCTTTCCTTTTCTATAACAATGATATAAAAGTTCGTACAATTTCAATTTTCATTAATACAACTCCAAAAATAATTCCAAAATTGTAAAGATTTTGGTAAATGTATCTTAACTATAGCTTTCATTCTATTTGGTCTATTCAAAAATAGAATATCAATACTATTTCCGCTTAGAACATGACAACTAACCAATAATCCCAGCATCAGCGGCTACATCATAGAAGTAGCTCATAGCAGCGACCGCGCCCCTCGGCGGCTGAGAGGGCTCCCAGTCGATGGTCGCCCGAGTGTATCGAGACACTAGCGACTGACATCTGCTGTATACAGCCTCACGCTTCATGTTGGACGGACGTGACGCGCCGCTGGTGACAGTGACATTGACAGATGAGATTGACATTATAATGACAGTGACAGATAGCATTAAACGTTATAATAATAGACAACATCATCATCATCATCATCAGCCTATCAGAGCCCACTGCTGAGCAAAGGCCTCTTTCTCACATGGAGAAGGTTTGAGCATTAATCACCACGCTTTCTCAAGACGGGTTGGTGATTTCAATATATAATTGTGAAACTATAAGTCCAGGTTTCCTCACGATGTTATCCTTCCGTAACAGACAACATTAACATTAAATTTTATTCCATTTAAAAGTTAATCCCGGATCGTGTCTATACCATTCTACACGACACTGGCGGATATACTATGCACGTCTTTGCACGGATGAAGGAAATATTTAAGAAATCCAACCCACATTAACATTATAGTGACTGACATGTTTATTTTAATTAATAGAATTGGTGTTGCCAGAATCGAAAATATTTTATAAACATTCAATGTTGTCAATATATTTGTATACATTGCAACCCAAAGTTTTTTTAGAACGAAGTTCCTTCGTCGTTGTGAAAGGGGGCTAGATGGAAAATTCCTCACGAAAAGTTGTCACGACACTTTGCTATAGTAATTGTAAGCTGTTTCACTGTCTGTCTGTCTGTCTGTCTGTCTGTCTATCTTATTTGTAATTATAATGTAATATATTCATCTCACTCGATTACGTATTGTTTGTTGGCGTATGTCCACTTCTCTTTCTGCACTATAGGGTCGACGCACACCGACGTGAAGTGACTAGTGTTGTTGTTAGCTTCCATTCTGAAGACACCGTATCTAGCAGCTAATAGACCCAGTTTCAGGTAGCTATAAAAAAAATCATTTAGATATAGACACAAAACTAATTATATTACTGTTATTATAAGAAAATTTTCAAAATAAACTACAACTGGAATTTGTTATATGAAGATTATAATTACAATAATTTTTAATTAGATTACATAATTTGCTTTATACGTAAGTATATTGTATGTGTGTGTGTGTGTGCGTGTGTGTGTGTATTATATTTTTACCTGTGTGTATACAATGAAATGTTGTTCTTGCCGGCCGGTACCAAATATTGGTCGTTGGCGGGATACAGCTTGATATCTTTCTCGCTCAACTGATACGTGATCTGTGTCGAACCACCGCCGAGATCCAAAGCCGCCATAGTCTCGCCACCCATTAAATCTGAAACATGTAAATGTTTTCATTAATTTAATCTTCTTCTACCTGGCAATTTCCCGGCTTTAGCCAGGGTCTGCCTTACATGTTGTGAATAATTGTTTTTACGACCGGCCGCCTGCCTGACATCAACCCTCTTTGGGAATAAATTTTCATTAATTTAATATAATATATACATTAATTTATTGAAGTTTACTGTTATATGATATCAAACCATTAAAATACGGTCTCTAAAATGTAAATTCCCAACTTCTCTAAGTATGTTTCTAACAATATTTCATCAAAATTCATGTAACAATATTATTATATCTATTTATTATGGTAGGTAAGTATTTATTTAGTTGTATGTTAGTTTCTATGCTACGCTTTAATCACTAAACTCATTAAAAATATTGGATGATATTTAAAATATATTAACTAACCGTGCAATAAATTAACCGAATACCAAATGAAGATTCCTTCATCAGAACCATCCATGATCTCAACGCTGTTAGGACCGACATCGTAACCCGAGCTGAAAATTAATAAAATATATTAAAAATCATTTAAATAAAACGTCATTAGCACGGTTGCTGATTTGACTGCGAGCCGCGAGCGTAATGAAGTTAGCGCATTGACATAGTCTATATTGAAGTTCGCACAAATCAAATGTATATTAAAACATTAGTCACAAAGAGCAAGGAATTTGTAATAGCATCAAACGATTTGTATCTACCGTAAAATATATATACATTTTGCATTACAAACTTTACAAAAATTTACAAAACAATTACAAACATTTACAAACAGCTGCATTTCAATAAATTCGCGATAGCAGTATCCATTTTAATTTAATAATGAAGAAAGTAATTTCAAAATGAAATTCATATTGATTTTGTCTTATTATTTCTTAATAGCCATATTGATGCATAGTAAAAGATTTCTATATATTTGTTCCAAGTCACGTCATAGCTTAGATTAAAATATTCAGTGGAAACTAATTCTGTGCATTGCAGACTTAACGCTTGTTTAATATTAAATTTCAATTTGTAAGTCAAACAGCGTAATCAAGAATACACGCACGTAAGATTTTATAAAGTTGTGTTACTGCATGTAAATTTTGTTACCGAGTGTCCCATTTGTGAACTTTGCGTTACCAAGTGTTACCATTTGTAAACTTCGTGTTACCAAGTGTTCCCATTTGTAAACTTGGTGTTACCGTATGTAAACATCTTTAATACTGACCCGGATATAGCCTTGGCGACCTCGTCGATGAGTCTTTGGGCTTTATCCCGCGGTAACAGTCTAAGGCCCGCTGTAGCTCGGACTATAAGAGGTGTTTGTGAGCGACGGTCAGCTGGTATCAAATGGCCGGCACGATTAACAAGATGGACTATTGTTTCAGCGCCCTTTAAAGGAAAAATTATATTAATACAATTTACCTTAAGGTCTAAACAATGGGTAAGGTAAGGAAATCGAATGTTTTTTTTTATGTATTACATATACCTATATGACATTTTAATTCTTTAAACTTCTTCAAATATTTTCATTTAAACTTACAATCGATACGCTTACCTCAAGTTTGAATAAACACACCACATACAAAGCATTTTACGTTATTCATTCAATGACACACGTAAATACTATAATGTACTAATATTTATTAATGAAAAACTAGAAACATGTCATATGTAGTGTGACGATGCAAATCTTTCGTAAGCGTACGGGACAAACAAAATTAATTACAAGCATGAAATAGGCATTACAAAGAAATTGCCAATTAAGATAAAAAATATATACTCATTCATGTACGGAGTATAAAATCGCTGTTAAATTAAACTGCAACCGTTAAAATCGTTATCTACACGGGTTAAATTTAACCCGTCGGTTAAATAATTATTTAACCCGTGTGTTAAATAATAATTACGTCATTAAATTACCTTTTCTGGTTCGTCAACATAAGATGATAGTCCGGGTTTTGTCTCCTCGAAATACTCGTCTACAAGGTCCAGATTAATTTGTCCGAAAACTAGAAAAATAAATAATTTTCGTTCAAAAACTCTGTTAACAAAATCTTATATTATCTGTGAAAAATTTCCCCTAAATATTCTCGACATGACTAACGCTAAAATTACGTCTGATTATGTTTTATCTTAAGCAGTGATAAGAGGATTTTTTTTATGCGTGCGAAATGACTTATGGCTGACGTAAATTAACTTTAAGAATATGAATACATATATTTATTGCTTGTAAATTTAAATTTCATTTATGATTCTTACGTATATTTGTATACAATCGATAAATTCTCGATAAGTTTTAATTAATCTCAAACATTATATAATTTCAGATCGAACCAATTCGTGAAAGTTGTTTAGACAGACAATTTTTTTCATTTCTTTTCATCAAAAATGCGATACAATTTATAAATGTTCAGCCAACCTTTATCATGGTATCAATAGAAAAATTATTCTTTTATTTTAAAAATATACACATCCTTAAATAAATGAAGCAGAAATTATAGAAATAAATCAAAATAACATCGACGAAATTAAATTCGTCATACCAAAAAAGTATCACAAATTTATAAATCCTTTTTTTCTTTGGATCATTCGATAGCATTAACGGTGACGATTTTACATGTATTTAAATCGGATTGAATATTTCACTCACCAGTGAATGGTACTCTGAATTTATAAGCCAGGACCCTGGTGCCGGATGACCCAGCGTCAATGATGACGGCGTGGTGATAAACGCTCTCATAACCCAAACTTTTGGCAATGCCATCGAACCACTGTGTCTGCCCCGCGAACAGACCTAGAAAACACAACTTTATGTACGCACACAACAAAAAAAATAACATTTTCAATATCATCTACTATAAATCAACGTATTTTTTGTCTCATATCATCAATATTTCTAAAAAAATCTAATTATAATTAGACATAAATCTGTCAGTTTATCACTAAAGTCCCCCAATGACAACGGATACCAACTAGAAATGTACAAACTTATATTACACGCATGTATATTTCTAATAAATTATACATCACAAAAAAAAACTGATAGGCAGTTCAATCAACCTTAAAACGATTAAAGAACAATGCTCAAAATACATGACAATTGTAAACATTCATACTGAAAAGAATTCCAAAACAAAACTACTTGTACACTATGGAGTTTCGACCAAAAAGTTTTTACATATACAAACTCTTTTGCTTATATTTTTTTTTTAATTTACATCTACTCTACACAAATATCTCAATACCTGTGACTAGTAATGGTAATGTACGAACAATAGTGGTGTTCATAGCTAACTGTACCTCTGTTATTTGTAATTTTTGTATCTGTAACAAAACTTTATATATGTCTGGAAAGGTTCCGTTTGACGTACACAAGCGTCATTTAAAAATCAACTTTAATTTAATGATCGTAAAGTATGAGATTAATTGTGTATTGTTAATAAGACAGATTCTATTAACAAACTTTCTTCATACAATTCACTATTGTTATACAATTTAAATAACTATTAATAGATAATTCAGTTACTCGGTGAATGACGACAGATATAACAATAGTTTTTTTAAATACGTATTTAAAAAAATGATAATTTACGATTAATTTTTAATTGATTACAGCAATAGAATAAATGGAGAACAAAAAAAAACTCAATTAAATCCCTACTAATATTATAAATGGGAAAGTAACTCTGCCTGTCTGTCTGTCTGTTACACTTTCATGCCTAAACCAATGAACTGATTTTAATGAAATTTGGTACAGAGATAACCTTGAGAAAGAAGATAGGATAGTTTTTATCCCAGACTTTTGAAAGGTTCTCTTGGAAACGCGATATAACCGAACTCCACGCGAACGAAGCTGCGGGCGGAAAGCTAGTACATAATATGTAAAAGCAAATCTTTTACAAGACATTTTCCTTGTATTTTTATCATATGAAGTAATTTGAGCCTTTTAAGGACCTGCATAATATATCTTTTAAATAATTAAAGAAGCTGCTATCTTTTTTTATCTTTAATTCTATAATTTTTAAAATATAAAGTATATATTAAAGATAACTGATCTTATTCATAGTAATGTACTACCGAGAAGTGTTTAAAAAGTATGACATCAAGATATTATAATTATTATCATGTTTATAATTTAATAAAAAATTAAACTTTTCAAAAATAAATTAAAATACAAGTTAAAAATAGTTTCCAACAATTGAAAAATCCTTAGCAAACTAAAAAATGGAATTGAATATTACAAAAATATAGTAGATATATTAATTTGTGTGAGTTTGTTTTAAAATATGTTCTATATATAAAACTTTTGCTTCATCCTTTATGTTATATCAATATATATTGGCTCTAATATAAATAAATTCTATTCAAATTGTATTCAGTTAATTACAAATAACAAATTAAACCATCGAGTAGTAAATCAAAGAAATGTAAAATTTTATCAATATAAGCATGATATATGGTTAAAATAACTATATAAAGTTAAAATCATGCAAAAGAGCAACTTTGTTATAGTATTAATAAGTTTGAAGGCCATGTACGTGCAGGATTAAAAAATAATATATTTTTTACCATAGTAATCGATTAAAAGTTTTCAGTAATAATTTGAGACGATGATTTAAAAACTATAAACACTTCTATAGATTTATTATTAAAAGAAATATACTTTTACATATATTTATATATGTCTGCTAGCATAATTAATTTACAAATAACCATAAATATTATATCTACCATGCTGTCATTATAGTCATTATACAATATATAATAATATATAAAGTAATCAATCATGTGTTAAGAGGTTATATTAAAGAAATACACATATATTTAAAACCTCCACCTTCTTGGAAGTCGATTAAAAATACTCACAAAATACCGTCAACAAAAACCTCATTTCATTTGAACACCAATCAAACAATATAACAAAATTATCAGAATACAAAACTATATTATTTGAGACCCATTTTTATATGTTTTAAGATGCAGGAAATAAACCCAAGGTCGCCAAAACGAGTGTTTGTCATAAAAACCGGTAATCACACGATAAGTTATTTAATGGCTTAAAAAGATATTAAAAAAACCCACTACGATTATATGTTTGTATTTGAGATTTAATAGATATTATTTTAAGGAAATTACAAACTTTTTTATAACCAAATATATATATAAATATATATGTGTGTGTATGTATGTATATCTAGGAAATCATGGCTAAGCGATTACATAATAAAAATCAGTATATCACACTTAATTAAAAGGAATATTCACAGTTAAATAGACAGCAAAAGAACATAATATATAAATTAATTTTACCATTTACATATTTCATTGAAATTATTAGAAAATTTATTCAGTGCATAAATTTCTATTAATAAGTATAGTAATTGTTTAAATAATGAGAATGGTTCATCAACATTTGAATTACTATCAGTAGTATTTTGTATGAATTAAATATTATTTTAATAAAATATTGTTTAAGTCTCTATGGAATCAAATATTATATTTATATTCAAGGACTAGAAAACGACCTAAGAAAAAAAAATAAAAATATACATAAAATATTAAAATAATTCAATGAAAATTCAGTTACACATGAGTATAGTTATTTCCCAAATCCGATAACATTGTGAACTTTTGAAAAATTCCCCAAAAAAACAAATTGTTTTTTTGGAGATAATATACAATCAATCATGTTATTTATATATTTGCAAGATTTGAAAAAATAAACAAACTTCTACCGATTAACTATATGAGTGGAAGTGGAACTTCTTGGAAGAAAAACAAAATAGAAGCAGTGGGTTAAAGAGATGCTGACACACTTTTCGGTGGTCAGTTGTCGAGATGACATCGCTCAAGGATTTTATGTGTTAATATTGTGTTAGAGATTACTTTTGGCTATTTTAAGGATACTACTCTGTAAGTAGTTTATGTTGTTTAACTGGTGTTAGCAGTTCATAATTTTTTTACTTAATTTACCTTTTATAGGTATTTGTTCATCTTCTATATATATAAAAATGGATTGCTGTTCCTTAGTCTCGCTAAAACTCGAGAACAGCTGAACGGATTTATTTTATCTTAGTCTTGAAATGTTCGTGGAGGTTCAGGGAAGGTATAAAAGGTGAGAAAAATTGATTAATTTTCGGGAAAACCCTAAAAACAGCCCTTTTCTATTTCCCATACAAATGTTTTCTTTGACATTAGATTTGACAACTAACTAATGTGTCAATCATTCTGTTCGATTGAAACAGGAAAAACCTGATTATTTATGGCCTCTAGGACGGAATATAGTTCGCCCGGTCAGCTATACATATATTACTAACTAGAAGACCTGGCGAACTTCGTATCGCCCTATAATCAAGAAATATCTATTACGTTTTTTATTTATATTTTTGGAGTTTACCTGTAAGCCATAAATCTGCGTGTTTTGAAGTGCGACAGAATGATTGACATATTAGTTGTCAAATCTAATGTCAAAAAAAAAACGTTTGTATGGGAAATAGAAAAGGGCTGTTTTTGTGGTTTTCCCAGTAGTGAATCAATTTTTTTCAGATTTAATACCTTCCCTGAAGCTCCACGAACATTTCAAAACTAAGATAAATCCGTTCAGCTGTTCTCGAGTTTTAGCGCGACTAAGGAACAGCAATCCATTTTTATATATATAGAAGAAGAAGATAATGAAATTAATGCGGACGAAGTCGCGGGCAAAAACTAGTCTTAATTAAAATCAAATTGTCAAATGTCATACATACTGTTATTTTATTTTTAAAAATTCGGACAAAGTTCCTTAATATACATATATACTATTGCTAGTATAAAAATTATTGTACAAATAACCATAAACATTATATCTACCATGCTGTCATATAGTCATTATATAAAATATCTTTATATATATAATTCTTCTGTGAGTGTGTATGTCACTGAACTTCTCTCAAACTACTGGACCGATTTAGATGAAATTTTTGTGCGTGTTCAAGGGGATCTGGGAATGGTTTAGATTCACGATTTTGTCCGCTGGACAATGTTTTTTTAATTAATTTTTAATTTATTAGTAGTTGTTGGTACAAACGTTTTTTTGACATTATATTTGACAACTAACTAATATGTCAATCATTCTGTCGCATTTCAAAACAGGGAGATTTATGGCTTTAATAGGTAAACTCCAAAAATATAAATAAAAAACGTAACAGATATTTCTTGATTATAGGGCGATACGAAGTTCGACGGGTCTTCTAGTATATCTATACTAATATTATAAAGCTGAAGAGTTTGTTTGTTTGTTTGTTTGTTTGAAAGCGCTAATCTCCGAAACTACTGGTTCGAATTGAATAATTCTTTTTGTGTTGGATAGTTCAGTTATCGAGGAAGGCTGTGGGCTATGTGATATCACGCTACAACCAATAGAAGCAAAGATATAGTGGTAAATGTGTAAAAAACGGGAGAAATTATTTCATCTTTGAAGCCTTCCGTTGCGTGCGCCGTGAAAACGGTTCAAGATACACAAAGAATATGTATTAAAGAATAGTAGCTCTTTTAATGATCTAACAAAACAGTCCGCGATAGTATATGTCTATATTTTAAGACTAACTCGCAAAAACCGTTTTTATGGTACCTAATTTGGTAAAATAATTTGTTTAAGTTGTATCAACATAATGATATTAATCTTTATTCAAATAAACAAATAAATATGTTGTTGATTAAGAGTACTTCATTTTGAATTAAAAAAAAACAACATAGGTGTTATCCTGAAAACTCTACGGGAACTCGACCATTCCGAAAACCCCGCAAGAACGGGAACGATGTGGGAAGAACCAAAAATCTGCCGGAAGTCACTATTCCACGCGGACGAAGTCGCGGCAAAACTAGTAATATATAAAGTAATCAATCATGTGTTAAGAGGTTATATTCAAAATATACACATACACATATATTTAAAACCTCCACCTTCTTGGAAGTCGGTTAAAATACTCACAAAATACCGTCAATAAAAACCTCATTTAATTTGAACACCAATCAAACAATATAACAAAGTTATCAGAATACAAAACTATAATATTTGACACTCATTTTTATATGTTTTAAGATGCAGGAAATAAACCCAAGGTCGCCAAAACGAGTGTTTGTCATAAAAACCGGTAATCACACGATAAGTTATTTAATGGCGTAAAAAAATATTAAAAAAAACCCACTACGATTATATGTTGGTGTTTGAGATTTAATAGATATTATTTTAAGGAAATTACAAACTGGTTTATAACCAGATACTTGACGCCCAAAAAGCTACCCAGAACAATACAAAATATATACATTTATATTTAATACACATAATTTTAGTATAGTAAAAAATTTTACAAGCTATTATCAGTTTGAGATAATATTTAATTAACAATTACATATCTGCATATCACAGAAAGAATCTAATTTAATAGTTAAAATAATGCAAAATAAGATAAAAACATATATAGTCTTCATAAAAAATAATATATAAATATATATCTGTATGTATAGCCCTATCCATTAATGATTCGGTCAATAAAAAATATAAATGTATACATTTAAGCAAGAAATAATTTACATAGTTGAGAATGTGCGAAGAGAAATAAATTTTTAATTGGCTTTTATTTTCATTATGAATGGGATATAAGATGTAATTGATGGAAAAAAGTGTAATATTTCTTATATATTTGTGATTGTTAAAACTACATTCAGAAGTCAATGTAAATAACTGCTTTGCTCGAAAATGATTGCTTTGTCCGAATTAACAAAATAAAGTACTTAGTAAGCAAATTTCATTTTAAGATTCATAATCTATTATCGACTTTGTTGGAATTTTGATCATCATCCATAGAAATAGAATTATAGTGTATGTTGATGATTTTAAAGTTCTAAATTTTACTAGGGCTTTGTATCTCCAGCTATGAATCTTTTATGTCTAAAATAATTGTTGCAATACTGATTATATATCTAACCATCATCAGCATATATGTCTTTTTAATATACTATTGGCAAAAAATTTTCGTTATGCTATAAAATTCATACATGATATTGAACTCACCCAAAAAATATGTGACACATAACACTAAAACGAGCAGCACAATAAATATTTTCTTAAACCGGCGTGGCTGTGGCACAGAACGGCTCCTCACGTTGATATTTGGTGATGGTGTTTCATCTTTTAACTGTAATTATATTAAAACGTTTACCAATTAAAAACTTGCAATTAAAAAGTACCAATTATTAACTAACTAAATAAACCATAATCAAAAGCCCGACTAATAAAAGAGATGACACGACAAAATAATACCCAAAAAACAAATCATTTATTTCATGTTCGCGACAAAAAATAATATAATATCAAAACAAACCCTCACCTCTAAATATCTGTACGTACTGAATTTGCCCATATCGGGCTAAAATAAACATCACAACCTTAATTACTATAAGTATGATTTTTTGTGCACCCGAGAACAATTTTTTCTTATTTCCTTTTGTTTACTGTATAAACAAAGATGGAAAATCTCTCTCAGGGTAAAAGTTAAAACGATTTTATAGAGTCAAAAAAACTGACAGTTGACGTTTCTGTACGTGAAATTGATAGACTGATTAATTTAAAATTATGTATTACCATCCTCATCCAAATTTCTAAAACATAATTTTGTTTATAAAATAAAGTATATAAAATTTGCTTTTTATTAGTATAGTAAGTATATAATATTTTTTAGACCAATAAAATTAATGATACTTTAATTTATGATGTAACTTTCTCACTATCGTTAAGGACAAAGATACATCAACTATTCACAAATGAATCGTAAATATACATAATTAATTATTATCATCCGCTGGTTATACGTTACAATAGGAATAACTTTTTCCTGCGTAACATTGAAATATTGATTATGATTATTGTTGATTCTTAAGAACTTCAGTTCTCAGCTTGAAGTCTGAAGTTCTTACGAGTGCATCTAAATTCGATAACATACGAAAAACTTCTTTTTTTATTGAAAAGTTCTAAAACAATTGGAAATCTTGACAACAAAATTGATTTATGAAACTATTCATTCTCATTATTCACGTGAATGTATAAGGTTAAAAAACTTGGAGAAATAACACATATTTACATACAATAACAAACAGAAACTTAAGACACTATACAAAAGGATATAAATTGCTTTGATCAGGTTAGTAAGTATTTATTTTGACTAATTTTGAGGTTATAATAATTATAAATTACCTTCCTTTGCCTTATTTCCGACATAATGATGATAATATTATCACTTCACATAAATTTATTACGATGCATACACTCACGAATGATACTGAAAAATGTATCTATATTATATTAAAATGATTTATTTGTATAAATTGTTACGGTCGGCTGCTAATACGACATAATATATTTGATGCAACGACGCCGCTGAATCTATGATTTACGATCTGCGGTGCAAACTCCACTGATGGGTATAGCGTGGTCACCTTGAGACTTAGTAGTCGAGATAAAGAATAATATTGTAGACGACTTTTTATTAATGGATGTATATTATATTATTAAATACTCATTAGATTAATCATCCAAGGTAATGATTAAAATAGACTTATTTGAGTCTTATCGGTTCTCAAAATAATTTAGTATTTAATCATTTTGGAATCGTTATTTAGAAGTAATGCTACGCAGTATATAGTAATGACCTTGCCACATCAATTTTATATCAACTTTTGTAAGTTCTAAGTGATAAGACATTAGAGTAGGTAATAAAATTTAAGCGTTAGGATGACAATTCAATTTATACAAGACAATAATATATTTGTATATTAAATATGTATAGAGTTCATTGTAATATTTTGGCTTTTAAGACGATTCTAAGAGCTTATTTAGAACTTGTTTTCCTTATTACTTTTTTTGGCTTAAACGAAAATTATGTGAATCAAAGTTTTTTTAATTCATTTGACTACATATATGTAATGAACCAACTTTGAAAAAAAAAAATAGATTTATATCGATCTCGAAAACGAAGAAACGGTTAATTGGAACTCGCGAGCGGGACTGACGAAAAATACATATAGAAGTATGGAAGAAATATAAATTGTATTTAATTTGTCTCTTATATTTTTTTCTTACATTATTCAAATATGTCTATTTTCATTGAAATATTAAATCGCTCCTAATTATGAGTAACAAATACCGTATACGATACGCTATATAATTAAGATAAATACATTTGTTTATCTTTATCTATTGTGCCAGTCACGATATCCTTGATTTTAACTATGCGTCATAATTGATTTTTTAAGAATAGCAATATAAAGAACACGGCAATAATTATTAAAATTACATATTAAATTTTAAAATTGATAATTTAATTTTTATTATATAAAATCTAATATATATCTTACCGTCATTTCAAACCGTGCCGACATTTAACAGCCGTTTCTAAATATATATACAACCTATTTTTGATGACAGCCACAATAAAACCGAATAAGCTGAACGCATCACCTGTTGTCTGGCATTATTAAAAAAAACGTATCTTATTATTCTTTATATATATGTGACCTGTTCACAGGTCACTACATCAAATCTTTATAGTCTTTTTACTGTTCGTAACTGGCACTTCTTTATACCGTTTAAAATAAGAATTTTATATCTATATGCAAAATAGCATTAACATTTTATCAGCAACTTCATGTTTCATTAATGTAAAATAATTACAGTACATGTTTATTGGGTTGCCGAAATTTTAAAAATGGAATCTATATTCCACCACGTATAAAAACAACCCGATTGTTTTCCTCATACTAAGTTAAAAATCATTGTTTTCTTAGCATAACATTTTTACCTTTATTATGATTCCAACAATATACACATAGTTATTACTTTTTAGTTATAATATTGCGTTAGTTTCGAGATTTATTGGAAATAATTCTTCAGTATTTTTTTAAATGTCGTTCGAAATTTAAACTGAATAAATATATCGAACTGTACGGGTCAAAAATTTTTCATTTCTTTATTAATATAATTCGTTAACAGAAACTGAATTGTACTTTATTGTGATATACATATATAAAGTACGTTATCAATACATTAATAATTCAGTTATTTTAATTTTGTTTCAGATAATGAATATGGAGCTATTGGAACTTTTCAAACAGTATGGCGTCGGTCGTCGGAAGTTGGGTGACGAGCTGTTCATTAAAGACAAACCACCTCCAAGACTCGGCGTTTATGACGTAGACGATGAAGAATTATGTCATTCTATGTCAGTAGTAAACTAAATATATATTTTTATTTTCTTACCTTAAACAATCAAAGGTTTAATCACATTCTTCCAAATAGTATAACCAAAGATAACATAATATTCTGCCAAAAAAATCATGGGACTGAAGAATCTAAAAAAAACTATTACATTGTATTTATTTTGTAATTCGAAAACAATAATTATAATGTATTTATATTAAAAACGAAGATGTAAATTAATTATGTAATTCATTTTTATAAACAGAAACAATTTAAGGAAATAAATAATTATGGTTTTTTATTAGAGCTACTTCTAAGCACACATTATGACCAAGTACATATTGCAAAATTTTATATTTAACACGTCTTTTAACACCTTCTATACAAACCTTATTTAGATTAAAATTCTTAAATATTCATATTACAGACTCGCATTCCTTATAGCAGGCATTTTTCCAAGTATCTAAGAGTTATATGAAGTATATTTTTAATATATTTCAGTATACAAACATCGTGCGCCGTTCCCGGATGTAAATATACCACGGATTCGCTGTTGGACTTCGAGAATCATTACAACGCGACCCACAGATACTCGTGTAGCCAGTGCAAGAAGGTTCTACCGTCACCACACCTGCTGGACTTGCATGTACAAGAGAAACACGATTCCTTCTTCGCTGTTATGGCGCTCAAAAAGCCCTCGGTATGTAAATTTTATTATTTGAAAGGTGGCAAACGAGTAGAAAGCCTACTTTATGGGCAGTAGTTACCGTCGCACAAAGACATTTGTAGCGAATGCATTGCCTACCTTAGTTTTTGAGGAAAAGGGAGGGGTGGGAATAGGGAAATGGAAGGAAAGGGAATCGGCTCTCTCACTCATCGGACGAAACGCAGCCATAGAAGGCTACTTCACGCCGATCTTCTGTGAGAGGGTGGTACTTTCCCAGTCGAGCCAGCCTATATTCGAGCTGTAGTTACATGATCAAAGCTAGGTTCTACCGTATATTTATGATATTTTTTCTCGTTTATCTTAATACCTCCAGGAAATAAACTTTTTTTTAAATACTATATAATCTTTCGTTTTCAGTACTGCTGCTATATCGAAGATTGCAAAGAAAAATTTCAAAATGCCGATGATAGGATGGACCATTGTACGAAAGTGCATAAATTACCTAAAGATTTCCGATATCATCAGAAGTCGCAGAAAAAAAATAAAAAACCAGACAGCTCTATGGACATAGACAATGAACAGACGAGTCAAAAAGAAAAAAAGTTTAGATTTAATAACAGCAAGCAAAAAGGTTTTATAAAATTTACAGGAAATAAATTCACTAAGGATGTGCAAAATTCTACAGCTTCTATAAATATGGATGCGGCTATGGCAGATCTCAAAGAAAGTCTACCGTCTTAATAAAATATTATTGTGAAATTAATCAATTTAATTAATAAGAATTACCTATCATACTTTAACTTATTTGACATTGTAATAAATAATCTGATTTTTAATTATATCTTTTTAATTTTATACTTCTTTTAATGCATATAACTTTACTCGATGGTAGAGATATTACTAGCACAATATTAAACCTTTTTTATAATTAGACTAAAACATAAAATTAATTACAATGAATATTTCAACGACTTAATAATTAATTTAACACAGCATAATAACTGAGAAATAAGAGAAAATATGAAAGACTGCACAGCATAGAATTATATATATTTATAACTAGCTGCGCCCCGCGGTATTACCCGCCGATTTCCGGGATGTAAAGTAGCCTATGTGTTATTCCTTGAAGTCAGCTACCTGTATACAAAATTTCATCAAAATCGGTTCAGCCGTTTGAGCGTGAAGAAGTAACAAACGTACACACTCACAAACTTTCGCAATTATAATATTAGTAGGATAAACAATTTTCATTACCAGACAACTCTACTAAAAAAATAATCGTGAATTGAAAAAATATAAATTTACGCAAGGCAAGCCATGGAAAAAAAGATATTATCGAATAATATCTTCGTAAAATGAACTATCATAACATTTTTATAGAGAATTAAATACAACAATAAAATATAATTACAAACGTGGGGCCGTGGGAAAACAAAATGGTTAAATGATTTTTTAAAATATAGAATACAGAAGTGACACAAAATAAATTTAATTACCTTTGGCTTGGACTTGAGAAAAACGACGGAAACACAAAATGTAGTTATAAATAAACCAATCATTTTATTATCTATTTTTTAAAGATTTATTCGCCAAGTCTTTCACGAGATATTTTTAAGAGCTTTACAAATAAATAAAATTTTACATCTGTATATAATATTAACATTTACGCCATTTAAAAAATTTATATAAATATGGATGCATTATTGATACTGTACCTAATAATATTTCAAAGTTACCTTTTGTTCGCATTGGAAAATCCATAAAAAGGTTGGACTGATTTTGATGAAATTTTCGCTTGCAGATGTCTGAAGTATATGGAGAAATTAGTCTGCGTTTATTTTCAGCATATCATTTTTTTAATATAAATAAATACATACACGGTACAAACGAATTCGCGGGCAAAGCTAGTACATAATTAGATTGCAAGAGCATTATTGTTTTACACACTTTATAAGGCAAATATTGAAGAAAGTTTGATTAAACAATCAAAATTTTATAATTATATAATAATTGGTAAATTTAAAGTAGCTAGTTTTTATGTCTGCTTGTAGAAAGGCTTGCAAATTTCATTTAATTTCGCACCAATTTAAAATAAACAAATGTCACTTAATAATTTGCAAGCTCTAATTATATTTCTATGCTGTAAATCGCATTCGCATATAGAAATGAATAATTTGGAATATCTTTAGAAAAAAAAATCCTTTTGAAATACAAAAATTATACATAAACAAAAAAGGAAAGACTGGCAACACTCAATAAATTAATCTTTATTTCACATACATTTAATTCATTTTTCAAACAAATCTACTGGTAACATCTATTTAGCTTTTCCTTGGGCAGCTACAGCGGCCATAGCTTTCTTAACAGTCTCTTCGTCTCCGAGAAAGACCATTGAATCAACCGGTTTCATATCCTCATCCAATTCATAAACAAATGGAATACCCGTTGGTAGATTCAACTCCATTATGGCAGCATCGGACAAACCTTTAATATATATATAGTTTAAACACCAGGATTTACTTATATATACTTATACAGCCACGGGCAAAAGTATTAGGCACCCTACAGTAAGACAAGTTTTAGGGTGTTTTAGCATAGCGAGTGTAAATAAAACTGCATTTATGATTACAATGGTTTATTTTAAGAAAATAATTAATATTTTGTAGGTCCACCTATTGACTTAATAACCGCAGCCACTCTTTTTGGCATTGACTCTACCAGCCTGAAACATTCTTCTCTTGATATATTTTTCCATTCCTGCTGTAACGCGGCCAATAGAGCTTGTTTATTGCTAATCGAGTGCCTGCGGATATTATTCTTTAAAATGGACCAAATATGCTCAATCGGGTTGAGGTCTGGTGATTGTGGTGGCCAGTCCAAAAGATCAATATGATTTTCTGCAAACCACTTCATGGTATGCGCGGATTTGTGGCAACCGGCGTTGTCTTGCTGAAATTTCAGGCCATCGGTGTTTGTATCACCGAAAATTTGCGTTATCGACGTTGCTAGTGCTGTTTCCAGAACTTCAGTTTATTTAACACTATTCATTCGTCCCTCACACAACACCATTTCGCCCACTCCGTCGGCAGCCATGCAGCCCCAGATCATTATTGAGCCTCCACCATGCTTAACAGTGGGTACCACACATTCTGGGTTGTATTCTTCGCCAACCCTTCGCCTAACATAAGTCACACCGGGTGTTCCAAACACCTATGTCAAACGAAAAAAACCCATTTATTTTCAAAGTTATTATTTTTCTTACAGTAAGTTATTTTAAAACATTTATGTGTTTTAATATTGTACATAGAATAAATAACAATACCTCAAAGTTAGATTCGTCTGACCACAGTATGTTGGACCAATCTTCCACTGACCAATCTCTATGTTTGAGTGCCCACTCCAACCGATTTTTCTTATTATGTTCTGACAGCCACGGCTTCTTCCTTGCTTTACATCCTTTTAATCCAGCTTTAAGAAGTCTTCTTCTCACAGTATAAACACTCACTGAGCTGCCTTTTGCCTCAGATAATGCTGCAGCGAGTTCTAAAGCAGTTTTTTTCCTGTTTTGTAGAGACTGCCTAATCAACAATCGCTCTTCCCGTTCAGTAGTAACTTTTCTTCTGCCTGTTCTTGGTCTATTTTCATGGGTGCCAGTCTCTTTGAAGCGATTTATAGCATATTGAACTGCACATCGCGAGCACTTCACTTCTCGGGCTATTTTAACCTGAGACATGCCTTGTTCATGTAAAATCTTAATTCTTAGACGCTGTTCAGCACTAAGTTCAGATTTTTTCGGCATGATTAACACGTTAAATGTTAGTCTTTGGAATTGTGATAGGAATAGTTGCGTAGAAGACGTGTATGTTCACTGCAAGCACTGATAACACACTATAACCCGAAACGCAAAAAAGCAAATTCGAAGAAACACCGCTTAGGAGCACACCTGGATGTCATAAATATTTTCTTTTATCTTAATTTGGTTAAAAATTGCCGCTAATACAATAACTAAACCATAAAACACACACTTGACCGCTATCTAATGAGATAGTGACTAACAATAGGGGTGCCTAATACTTTTGCACGCAGCTGTATATGAATAATACATTATGGAAATTACAATTAGTTCATTATAATATAACATTTTGATATAATCAAACATTAAAGGCTGGTTATCTTAAACCTATAGGTTCTATAAGTAAGAAATAAAATAAAATCTACTCTAAGTAATCGTCTATAGAAAAATTTCATATTAGTCTTGAATATATCGCTAGTTATATCATAAATAATATATTATGAAAATATGAATGTAAATTACCATCTAAATGCTTGACAATGCCTCTCAGACTGTTGCCGTGAGCGGCTATAATGATTTTCTTACCCTCCTTGATCTGTAACAGTTTAAAATACAAATATCACTAACACATTTTTAACTTTACTATAAGTGATAAAACAATTAAATCAATTAACATCTTAAAGGGTAAAAAATCTTGTTTTTAAGAAATAGCATAGGAGAGCAGTGTTATTATGAGATACAATTGAATTTAGGTAGATTTTTGTAGTAAAAATATCTAGATAAATAACATAGTGAAATATATATAATATATAATCTTTGTCTTCTTGAAGTCTCTTATCAACAGAATAAAAAATACGAATATAAACAATTTTCATAAAGATATTAATTTTGAAAAGATTATTCACGACTAATAATTTTTAACCCATATATAATCTGTTGAATTCATAGGGTTTCAGGCATACAGTATTAAAATAGGGATTTAAAATTTTACACAAATTAATATACAATTAAATTTAATGATGTTTTAACTTTGTTATTACACTGATTGTGTCTTGTTAAATTATATTACGCTGTAGATTGTAGGAAATTGATATATCTTTTGGTAGTATGGGTGTATTTGTGATATATGTACTAACAATTTTTGTCTATAATTTTACTGTCAGTCTATACTCTTGCTCCATCTGATCTTATAAACAGTTAGAGAGAGATAGAAGGAGAGATGAAAGATATTTCAAAGACATTTTCTAGCAGCAAGGGCGTATAAAGAGTAATTTCGAGTACTTTGGTATGAAAAATATCATTTATATCTACCGATATAAATTATACATATGAGTACATCTAACATAATATGAAATTGTGGTGACGTGTATGTATAATATATTTTACCTGAGGAACGATAACATTGTTCCAGTATGGCAATGTTCTTTCAATAGTCAGCTTCAAGCTCTCGAACATGGGGAATTCCTCTGGTTTCGGATCACCGGCGTAGCGAGGATCATTCACAATTGTCTCATAATAAGGATGGTTCTTCTCCATGGCCGGTGGTGGAATATCGAAACTACGGCGCCAAATTTGTACCTGTAAAATTATATTTGTTTTATTTGGACTTAAAAAATTTTAAGTTCATTCTAAGTTAATATTAAGCTATTTTCTCGTTTAAATAACAAAAATTATGTGGATGTACTCTACATGTGAGAGTTATTTATATTATGCTACACCAACCTACATAAGTTAGAATATTTTTATACAATTACAACTCCTACCTGTGCTTCACCATATTTCGCGGCGGTCTCGGCTTTATTGAGACCAGTCAGACCGCCGTAGTGTCTCTCGTTTAGTCGCCAAGTCTTGTTAATAGGAATATCGGTTTGATTCAGCTCTTGCAAAATACTGTTCAAAGTAATTTGGGCACGCTTAAGAACCGATGTATGGGCTACATCGAACTGATAGCCTTCTGCCTTTAAAGCTTTACCGGCTGACACAGCTTCCTCACGTCCTGAAATTCATTCGATATATATGGCTTAACACATTTATGCGGAATGCAAAATGTATTAAGTAATGAATTAAAAATTTAAAATAAAGAATTTACCCTTGTCGCTCAGGTCAGCGTCGTACCAGCCGCAGAAGAGGTTTTTCTGATTCCATTCACTTTCTCCATGACGGATCATAACAATTTTATATTTAGCAGGCATCTTGACAGAGTAATTCGGTACCTAGTTGCCGGAGTAATTCAATAACTTCGACCTTTTCTTTGACATTAGCAACCTCAACGACCTTCAAGGAAGAAAAGGTCGGAGTTGCCAGCTCCAATATAGGACATTTTTAATGTCTACATGAGTCAAAATATTGGCCAATTCATATATAAATACCAATTATAACATAAATATATATTTGAAATATCTTCTATTACTTTATGTATCTGAAATAAATATTTTAACATATATTTTTAAAATATAATGCATAACTTAACACTTAAAATTGTGTATATAATATATGAGACAAATATATATATATTAAAAAAAAATAAAACCCGCTGAGGTTCTTCTCAGGTCAGGGTATTTTCTTTTCCGAACCGGTGGTAGTGTCTCAAATGACCATCAATAAGAAAGTGTAATGCTTCTATATTGAATAAAGTTGTTTGAGTTTGAGTTTGACTTGGAGTTGAACTTTGTAAATAGGATTAAAGGCCCTTACTCCAACTAAAAGTAAAATGTTTAAGCGCCACCTAGGGTAAGATACCCAATTATTGGCACTTTAAGGATAACTGTTCAAAAAAATAGTTTAAATTATCTTTATGAAGTGTTGCCAGAAAAATAAACATATGTATATGGTAGAAATAGTTATTGAATATCTTTAAATAAATGCACCGTCTGCCAGATACGTCTTAGTATTTTTATTTATATAAAAAAATAACACCGTTTTCCCAATTACTGGCATACTTGGAAAAAAAAATTATTAGTGAAATTATTAAAACAGTAAACACTTTAATTTAGCTAGATAGAAAAATGATATTGCGTTGTGGGTAGATTTATGGATATTTAGACTATTTCTATTAAAATTTAAGCATTAGTATTATAGTTTAATTTTGAATTATTTAGTATTTCTAATCAGTTGTTGATACTTGATAGTTATTTTATTTTTATGTGGTTCTTAGAATTAAATATGTTTAACTTTATATGTTTATATTAACCTCGTAATAAACACTTAAAACTTTGGCAGAAAAGTTATCAAGATTTTTTTAAATCAACTATTCGGCTAGAATAACAAAATTTAAAATGGCTAAACCTACTACGCAAAAAGCAAGAGGTCGCCCAAAAAAGCAAAAAGGTGTACAAAAAACTCCAACTGTAATAAAAGTGAAAATACAGAAAGGAAAGAAAAGTAAAAATATTTTATTAAAATTTTAAATAGATTTTATATGCATGGTAATTGAAGCTTATGTTCTATTTTATTTCGAAGGTGATGATACAGAAAAGGCTCAAGACAAAAGATCAGAACTCACCCAAAAGGACATTAAAATAATGTTAGCCAATGAAGGTAAGATCATCATTAAATTCTTTATACAAAATAAATAATAGATAAATCTTATATTTACAAGATATACCTTTAAAATAGTTGTAAGAACTCAGTTGCCTCAAAAACGAACATGGACGTTTACATCACTAATTGATATCCCTAAAGAAACCAAAACGAAAACTAAAGACAGAAAACGTGTAAGCAAAATAAAAAATGTACAATGTAAGACCACTGCATCCAATTGTGTTAAGACAGAAACAAAAAAGAAGAAAGTATGTAAAAATGTTAAGAAACGAGAAAAGAAAGTTAGCAATAACATTAAATGTACAAAGTCAAAAGGTTTGTCTATTTAGTCATTTATTTACATATCTACCTATAAATAACACCATTTTATAGAAAACAATATAGAATTATAACAAAGATCATCATTAAATTCTTTATACAAAACATACAATTTATACAAAATAAATAATAGGTAAGGAACATTCTTATAAATCTTATATTTACAAGATATACCTTTAAAATAGTTGTAAGAACTCAGTTGCCTGCAAAACGAACAAGGACTGTTACATCACAAATTGATATCCCTAAAAAAACCGAAACGAAAACAAAAGACAGAAAACGAGTAAGCAAAATAAAAAATGTACAATGTAACACCACTAAATCCAAAAAGACAGAAACGAAAAAGAAGAAAGTATGTAAAAATGTTAAGAAACAAGAAAAGAAAGTTAGCAATAACATTAAATGTACAAAGTCAAAAGGTTTGTCTATTTAGTCATTTATTTACATAATTCTCTTTACATTATGTAAAAAACCATGTTCTAGAATAGTTTTATGGTATAAGGAACTCTTGTTCTTAGTTATTATTACTATCTTGTCACTTTACTTAGTATTTGATTGTAATGATTATGACCAGTATACGAACTATTAGGTAAGTAGTTATATAACAGTATGTTACAATTTAATTACTATAAACTTATTTTTATGATAAACATATCTACCTATTAATAACACCATTTAATAGAAAACAATATAAAATTATAACAAAATAATATTTAGTGCTGATTAAGGAATTATTACAATTTATATTTATTGTGTATAGCTTCGTAGTTAAATTAAAAATGAAATGTATATATATATATATATATTTGAATACTGAGTTTATTGTTTTGGTTTTATGATATTTATCATTAGACTATGAGACATGAAAGGCTTTCATCCATTCATTGTGTTACATTCTTACAAAGCTATACACTTACTAATACCTCATACTTAAAGCAATGATATAAAACTCTCTGCCTACATCTGTTTTCTTCTACATATAATTTGGGTGTTGTTAAACTTAGATTGTATAGATAGATTGAGATTGTTTTAGATAGATTGAGATTTAGTATTATATAGTAGTATTAGTATAACAATATCAAAAAATAAGAGATACATTTTGGTGCTCAGAAGTCGAATGGTTATTTACAGGTGTCAAGTCTATACAAGTTAAAAAAGCAACAACTGTGCCTAAAAAACGCGGTAGACCGAAGAAAAAGGATTCGGCTATAGGTAATTGTAGTTTTTCCTTCATTCATAATATTTTAATCATTTTATATACTCTATGTATGTATTTCAGCTGAAGTTAAACCCAAAAAACAAGTTAAAACACCAAAACAGCAGGTAAAACCTAGGGTTACCAGAAGTCAGTTAAAAGTGAAGCATAAATCTGAAAAGACAGCCGAGTGCAAGCTCAATAAGAAATTGAGAGAACCGGCTCGGAAAGAGGAAAACAATATTGTGCATATGGATGAAGATAATTCTGAGAGTAATTCTATTTCATCACAACTGTCATGGCTGAGAAATATTTCTATTTCGAGCCATGCAACGAGCGGTGTAACAGTGTCATCTAATGATTTTTTCACATTCGATAATAAACTTCCACTGGTCAAACTAAGAAGTATTGACAAGAAGACTATTAAGAATCCGGTCAATAGGAATCAATTTAACAAAGGTGAAAGTATTAGTGATAGTGATAGTGATGTAAGTGTTAATAAATGTGTTTCACAACAAATCTCTGATGATTCAAACATTGCTTTGCCTTCATTGAATCTCAGTACATCACCCTGTGATAGGATTTCCATGAATAAATCAGAAGATACTTTAGCTCCTGATGATAAACTCAGCAATATATTAAGAAAATTATCATCTAAACTAAGATCTCTTGACCATGAAGTGATAGACTGGATGGGCCATGCGTATGAAGATGACGACCTTGATAGCGATTTAACGAACGACGAGAATTTTCTAAGCGATTTCTTGACAGACGAGAGACAAGTTATACTGACCTGCAGAGAAATAAAGCGTTTCTTATTAGGCCCTATAGAAGAAATGAATAAAACATTAAGTTATCCACAATCTGACCAGAATGATTGTGATGAAATTATCAAAACAAGGCAGGATGTAAATACAAAAGTAACAGATGTTTTTAATAGCTGTACACTCATAGAAAATGATTTCGATGATATTTCTGAAGACACTGATGAAGAAGACGCATTATCGTTGTTCGCTGAAAGCGTAACTCATGTAGACACATCCAAAAGGAATAGAGCGAGGGCTGGTGATGAAACAGAAAAATATATCCCCGAACCTATAAACAATTATCAATTCAAAGCACCAGAAGTAAGATATCAACCGACTGTTATTTCCAATACAAAAGCAGTTCAACGTAAACTGGTCGCTATCCCTAATAATCCTAAACAAAACTTAGTTACCACATTAATGTGTGGTGATAGGAAATTGACGAACGGAAACAGAGCATACGGCAATCAGAATATGATAATCAATAAAGAAATCACTTGCAATGGAAATGGTATGCCACAAGCACAACTAATATCCTCGACACATAAGCCGATGCAGGGCGTCAAGAGTCAAGTATTCAAAGGCGTGTGCTTCTTCTATTTGATAGCAAGCTGTAAGAATATTGTCTGTAAATTTCCACATGCCTTCATCGAGATAGATGATATAAGGAAGAGACTATCAGAGCTCAGTGACGATCTGTTCATTGAGGAGTATATATTGGTTAAAAGCTGGCCGCAACTGAGACGGACATATGGCCTTTGTTTCGTAGAGGAATGCAGAAACAGAGACTTGTCAAGGATGCTGGTCGAAATGGCCATAGACTTCATCGTGAAATGTAATTCCAGTTCCAAAGAAGATGAACGTTTGAAAACCGAGGTCGCTGAGAGAGTATTGATCGATTTGAACGATGCAAAACTCACAAATTTCACTGATTTACTAACATACAAAGTGCAGTTCAGCGGTGTAATGTTGTATGAATTTTTCCTATCAACACTATCTAAGTCGGTGAACTTTTCCCGTTACAAATCTGTTTTTCTAAAACTGACGGTTTTTATGTCCGATTTACTAAGAGCGTTCGACATAGACGTCGCTACGCAGTTACTTGAAAGGATCTGTATGTTGCCGTACGATGAAGAATTGGCGATTGGAATTATAGAGATCATCAAGAAAACGGATCAAACTATATTCACAAATCCTCTGATGGATTATTTCAAGAAACAGTTGGAATTATCAAACTTGGACTTATATAACGAGTTCGTGATACTCAAAAATAATGCCACAGCCAACTCCAAGCAATTTGAACGCACTTACAATAAAGTACATACAGAAGTTTCGGGCCCAACACAAATTAATAGTAATCTAGTGAATAAATCTACTATCACGTCTCCGATAGACACGACGATATTGGTAAGTCATTATAAAGAAATATCGATAGTTCTTTAACTGATACCAAATTCATATTTTTAATAAGCATTTATATAACTTTAAAATACATTTCAGAATTATACACGGCAATCAATATTACAAAATGCCATTAGTGTTAATAATTTAGGAGATCACGTAAGACGTGAAGTGGCGAAGAATAAAAGCAAGCAAGCAAATAGATCAAAATCTATACATAGTAGGTGGAAAAATATGTCTGTGTTCGACAGGATCAGGCAGAGACGCTTCGACCAGCCTCCGATGATCCCTCGCTGGCTGGGAACGAAAAATAAATGGGAACAATTTCCACAAGCGGGACCGAGTGTAAGAACTATATTTATTATTCTTATATAAATAAAAACTCATTCATATAAAAGAAACTTAAAAATAATGTCAAAATTAATCGATAACAACCCATTAATATATTTAATTATAGGTAAATTTTATCACATTTTTCGTTTATACAGGGTGACTGGTGAATTACTATCGATACTTGAGGACGTGATATTTGACGATCATATATGACAAAATAAAAATTAATATAATATAAATATTAATAAACTTCTAAGTAAAGTTAACCAAAAGTTATGTAATTAATTACGCATCGTGTGAGCACCCTACAGATTAGGTATACACACACACATACTCACGCGTGTGGCGGCGTAGTGTTGTATCAGCACGCCGCCGCACGCGTCCACACTTGGAACACTTGGAACGTGTCCACACTTTGTTTATTTATACGGAAATTTGGTCAAAAATTAAGTACCTATTTTTTTTACATAATTCGAATGAGAATCATGTACCGAGTATTCTCCTTAAATATTGATAGTAATTCACCAGTCACCCTGTATATTTAACTTTTAAATATTTAGTTAATGCATTATGATCTTTTCATGACACTAGATATCGTTAACTCTCGTACTTGATCGAAATTAATCGTTTATTTTGTAATCGATTATTTTCAAGTACAAAAGTAGAAAAGGAATATCGTTGTTTGACATTTAGTTAGAATACAAACGTCTAGGAATCTTCACATATCGCGTAAAGGTGGCACTCCACTTGGCGTCGCGTATTCGCCGCATTTGTCCTAATATATTATGTACGTAGTTCAAATAGTGCAAACACGATAATCCACACTTGGGATGCCAATAACACGTTTACGCGTTTTCGCTTAATAGTGTATATGTCTTATTTGTGCAAATATGTCTTATTAGGCCGAACATAACAAATACACAACGCAAAGTGAAGTGCCACCTTTATGTGTATGTATATCAAATTGAGGATAGTTGTGTGATGTTTATTTTAAATAATTAAACCTATTACAAGTATGTAGCTATAGCTTTGTATATATCTCCTTTTTATAAACTTTGACTCCCATAAACTAAAATGTTCACGTCATTTTGTTTCAGAAACGTCTTAAAACCTCTGGGCCTATAGACTTTCTATATTATTATTGAAATTGTTATTTCGTTTATTAATAAGTTATATCTAATTATAAGCTTTACTCAAATATTTGTTATGAAATTAAACCTTTTTTTTGTGTTAGATTTCTATAAACGTCTTGACTTATATTTAATTTATAGTAAGAAGATTTAAATTTAATAATTCTGTTTTCGTCGTAAGTATAATGTGTAATGTTGGATTTGTGATTTTTTTGACATTCATGTAACTTTTGTTATAAAATTTAAACCAAGAATTATTTGAAAAGATCTAACCAATATAATTTTTTAGTTCTGGACTGTTATTTTTGCAGTTGCAATGCCAAAATTATTAGTAGATGGTAGTGATTGTATTCAAATCCTTTTACAGAAGTAAAAGGACTTATATCGAATATGTTGTTTTATAAGAAAATTGTAAGTGTATCAGTTGTTTTTGTTTTGACATAAAAAATATTGATTATCTAATATATAAAAAACTACATGATTATAATTTTTGTGTTTTAATTATAACCTGTTTTGTTTCTTGTTCATAAATTCATTCAATATAATGCAGTTATGTTAGTAAATTTTACTACATATTATTAGGGAATTAAATCTTACTTTTTCTTAAGTATAAGAATTATGCCTTGAACATGGAAATTGTAGCAAGAAAGGATTAATAGGTATTAGTAGATAAGAGATTTATACAAATTTCTTTTGTGTCTTAAAATGAAACGAGAATAATAGGTATGTAAAAAAAATTTATTACATGTAGCGTTATACACAATACATTAAGCATAGCCGCATTGGAGTTCTAGTGATACAATAATAAAAATAATACAATATTTTTAATTGTGATGAATCTTTTGATTGTAGAAACGTATTAATTAAAATATCATGAAAAACATACAAAGAATCTTTAAAAATGAGTATTGTGATAAAACGAATTAATAAAATAATAGTCAATGGTAGACATTCAGTCTTATAATATTTATAACTAGGAAAAGTGTAATTCAATGTTAAACACTTTATATTGTAAAAATTACAAACACCTAAGCATATATTTACTATATAGAGAAAATGATGTATGTCTGGGTGTGATTTCTTGACAATTCCATAGAAATTAAAAAATATTGTGCATATCAGTCTTAACCTACATAGATGAGGGATATTGTCACAAGTGTAAAAAATCTACACTAAATTGTATAAAAAATTTTGGCCTATTTAATACTGGATGTATTACTAATCAAAAAGCCTAATAAAAATTGTGATTAAATTCAAAATTGCAATACATTTGTTGCATATGTAAATAATATATATAAATACACAACTCGTTCATTACAAAGCCGGCATAGCACCAATCATATGACATATTTTAAATATGATCGTAGCTAATAAAAATGGTTGAAAATAGCAAATATATTGAGACATTAGAAAGAGTTATATATTTTTAATTATACATATACATATGTATATATAATAATAATACTGTTATTATAGCTGCCATACCTTTTCAGTTCAGGTAAAAATTATTTCTCATTATCCCAAAACAAATGTTTCGGGCCTTACCAATGTAGTTCAGTAATGAAAAATGTAATATTCATAGTTTTGCTTGAGGACATGTATTTTTAGACAAAAATCTACCTCAATCAGTAATGAATACTTTAAAAATCATTTGTTATTTTACTTGAGCGTAAGGTGACTTCACAATAAAACCTTGTGAATCAATAACACTGTCAATCACCCTTAACATACATATTAGAAATCTGTATAATTCATTAATTATTTAATATATGAATAGAATCACGAGGCTTTGTAGTCATTATCAGCAGAACTTTTCATACACAAGCTAAGTGTAGACAAACTAATAAATCAATGCCATTCATGTATACCAAAATGGCATTTACAATACATTAATAAATATATGTAGTATAAAAATGCCGTTACTAACGAGATAAGCGGTGGGTAAGTTTTTTGGGAATTTTAATAAATATATTAATGGAAAAGCACTCTGGGACGTTTTTTGGCCAGGATGTGCCAGGAGTGAGTCATTCCCTTATGACGTTTAGGAGATAATCTGAAACATAAAAATATACATATATATACACAAAATTACAATTTTGTTAGTAGAAATTGTTTAACGGGCGTAAGTAATACTTTTACACATAATATCTATTAATATATACTTTTTGTTGCTTTATTATTGTGGTATGTTAGTTATTTAGCTATTGAGATCAATCAAAAAATATTATTTTGTATACAGATTGATATTTCAATCATATAAATCACAAAGCAATAATTTAATGTTAAAAATGCTAAGGGAAGATTTCAAAGAATCAATAGAAAAATATATATTAATAAATAGATACTGTTATTAATGCAATTATAGGTCATAGTAGAGTCTAGGAAGTATTGTATATATCATTTTTTTTTATTAAGAACTGCAAGCATTATGTTCATAAACACTGCAAATTTAACAATTAAATGAAAACCGCTCACAGTATATAAAAATGAGTACTTCATTAGCTAGGCTAAACTCTTCAGCTTCAGAGTAAAATTCCCTAGTTTACGAAAAGGTGCAAAGCATATAGAAAGAGAACAATAGCTTTACAATCAAAATAGCTTCATAACATAATCATAATTTTAATTCATTAAAATATTAACTCAAATACTAGTTATTAATATTTGTATTTATTCATTCTTCATCTATTGATGATAGTTTTTTAGTTAATATTTAAAAATTTAATATTAAATGTATATTTCCATTATTCTCATATCCTACCAATTGTAATGAGATTAACTACAAAAGGATATTAAAAAAATACATTGCTCGGAGAACAATTTAAAATCTATTAATTTATAAATTTAAATAAATTAGGATATAATCTAGCAAGAGCATAGTTTTGAGTGAGAGTGAGAGAAGTATGGTATTCAAAGTGAATATGTGTTAATAAATTGCATATTATGTTCTACATTTTTATATAAAGTAGTATTTTATTTAAGCTATTAGATAATTACCCATTTTCAGGAGTATCAGGCATGTATGGAGACATTCTGAAGTCTCTGTTGTGTGGAGTCTCGATACCGAACGGACTATACAACTTAGTTGGGCTACGTCCTGAAAACTTTATAAAGGCAAAATTATTTTAAACATATGTACATTCTATATATATCAAAAATGATTAGCTTATAGAGAAAAAACCAAAAAGAATAAAAGATATTCGATCGAAAGGGAATGTTTGCGAAACATATGTGTATTTAAATTATACATACTTGTTTCTTTTTAGTAACTGGTGTAGTCGGCATACGGCATGGGGAACCAACTTCAGTAAGACGATGTCTTCTACGGCCACTCAGTCTAAAATGCTGTTTCAAAGAAAATATTTTCAATACGATTCAAATAAATAAACAGTTTACTAGAGCTAGATTTAAATTATACGTAAATTAAAATTAGACATTACAATGATTAGCACATTAGAAAAAATAATAAAATCAATTGTTAGTATAAGAAATTTAAATAAAGCGAATTTAAGGTCGCGTAAATCATAAATGTATACCTGCGATATATTTCCGAAGGTGTTTCTAACGCTCTTGAACGTCCTCGTAATCTTCTCAGCTCCAGATTGCAAGGCACGACGTGAATTAGCAAAAGATTTCCCCTTAAAAATGTTTCTATTGTAACATCCTTCAATATTTCTCATACTATCTCGTGCGGGAGAATCGATACCGGAGTCGTTTACAAAAGGATCTTTCATTTTTGTTAATCTCGCACAAAACTTCTAATTCACTAACTACAACTTTAACTTATATTAATTTCTTATATATGATATAGAAAAACAGGACGTATTAATACATTATTTGTAATATTTTAATAAAAATCAATGAAGCAAGACGTTACGCGCTTCGCTTTTCTAGACTATGTTGATCGTTACTGGTTATTCCGTTTTCGGTCGTTATTTTTTTTTTGTTGTGTTTAGTGTTGCCATGCTATTTTTACAGGCTGAATATTATTCATTCAACATTTTACTATAACAACTAATAAAATAAAATCAACCACTTATTGAGTGAGATACTATTTAAATAATCTCATTTAATTATACATTTTAACCTTATACTGTTTTATTGAACAAGAAAGTTTTCATTCATTTTTATATGGTATATACTTTTATTAAAGCCTTCTTGGTTTATAAAGAAATATTACATATTTTTATAATAATAGCAGTTTATAAATGGATAATTCCATATTATTTAATATTAATTATATAATTAGTCACAGCCAAATAATGTGGAAACCAAAAATGTTAAAGATAAAAATAAATATATTTAGAAATCGAACTACTAAATAACTGCCATGATATATGCAAATTATTGCATCATTGTTCATTTTTATAATCATACATTTGCCAGAAACCAGGCCTTACCATGAACTGATAAAAATGTAATTCTACGTTTTCAGAACCAAATACTCCTTTAACATTTATTCTCAGCTCTTAAGTTAGCAGTGTTTGATATTATTTATAGTTGTATAGCTCTTTGTAGTTTTACATTTCATTGTTGCTACACACACAACATTCGTAATATAATAACTGACTATTGATAAAAATCATAGGAATGTTTATGCATAACATATGTATATTATTTAAATATCGTAAACATGGTATTACATCTGTGGATGTGAGGTTTTACTGTCGGGCAAGTTACACCACAAAAATTACTGTCAAACATGTTTATTAACCCAATTATTATTTGCCACCATTTTGTTTTAAATATTTAATGATCCGTTTCAATTATTGCCAATATGCAACAAAGCTTAATTTAAAAATTTAAGTATAATATTGTTATTAATGCGTCTCTAAAAACATGCTTATTAGCTTATCAACATTAATTAATAAAGCAGTCAATTTATTATATACATTTATTACATTGTTCGGAAATTTTTCTTTTTACAGTATTAAAAATCGGGTTCGCAACAAAAAGCAAATTATTGATTGATTGATCTAAATGATTGGACACAAAATAATTAAACATAACACTTCTACATTTATTAACTAACATTAAATTAAAGTAACAATAATTTATTAATTACTAGCGCTGATGCATATAGTAATCTATTACAGTTGAAAATGCAGCAAAACCAGCGGCACCAAATACACCAGCTTTTAAACCACCTGAAAAAAAAATGCATTAAAAAGAAGTATTTACTACATAAATATTAAGAAGTATGAACAATATATATTTATATACATAGTTCATACTTTGTTATTGTGGAGTTCAATCAATAGTTTAGTCACAACTAAAAACACTACAACATATAAAAGATAATAGATACATTGTCTAAATTAATTAAACTTTGCCTATATCAATTTTCAGTACTTAAGAGTCATGTAATATAGTATAGTAGATTATTTAACTTGTTAAATATTTACCTCTTAAACCTATAAGCCCTCCGGTAACTCCACCGGCATAAGTCCCATTCTTCCAATCCGATTTGCCCCTCGCGCTTTCTATACAACATTCGACCCCGGAAAATACTGCGCCAAGTATAGCAAAGTTCTTGGCGTAGCTCAACATTGAGTTTTTCATTTCTCTCAAGATCTCTCTGGCTGTTTGATTTTGTTGTGCCATCGGGTCGCTCATATTGGGCATGAGCGACGAAGTAAATAAACCCACAGCAGCACCCAAACCATAACCTGTACATGATAATCTACTATAAGAATCCTTTTTTTTATATACTTATACATATCAAGTAAATTTTGTCAGTAACTCACCTATAACACAACTGGTGAAAGATTTGAACGGACAACTCTCAACTGTAGCCTCGATCATCTTCTCTTCATTCGTTTTAATGATAACAGGACCCAATACTCTGGGTATGATTATGTTTTCACGATATCGGTATATGTTACCGACTAAATATTTAGCAAGAGAGTCGTAGTCGTCTTTTTGTGAGAATTTTATTAAATCGGGGTCGACGGGAGGTTTCCTATATTCAGTCATATTGATGTTTTATAATATTTAATTTCGTTAGTTAATGATTTCAATGTTTCAAAATTTATATGACATCCGGATTTATGTAAAACCATAACCTCAATGTTTTCGTGCAAGTGACATTGATTGGGACGGGTGACATCTAACTTACTTTGTTGTGTTATGTTTGAAAATAAAAATACATTTAATATTATTAAAAGTAAAGAATTGAAAAGTAATTAATAATATAAAAAAAATCACAATAGTGTCATTAATAGACTAATAAGTTAAAAATCTTAGATATGAGTCTCATTTTTAAAAGTTTTATTTTTATTTTCATTACTGGTTATAAGCGTAATAACTAAAGATATAATAGTTAAAAAATGATAATCTACTGTTTTTGCCAATATATACTTAATTTGGATTAAATTTATGGAAAATCGCAATAATTAGATTTTAAAAATATTAATAATACATAATGTCAATGTTTCACCATATTGCTTAAATAATTTTAAGGTTAATAAACAAACAAGTAAATGTCAAACATTTTATTTATATAAAACAAATAAAATGTCCGATTCATCCGAAGAAGAAGATCTTTCACGTTTCAAGGAAGCAGTTGATAACTCTTTTATAAGTATAATAAATAAATCAAGAATTGAATTAACAAACGTTATTAAAAACGGTAGGTCAATTGTTTGTTTACAGAAAATGGGAATGACATTTAAACTTTTATATAAATTTTCTAGATAAACCTTCCGATGTAAGATACCTAGATGAATCCGCGCACTACAATGATGTAAAGGTACCGGAAGAGCTTCAAAAACGTATTGGTGAAAAAGTGTCTGCAATAATCAATAAAAATCAGAAATTTGTCGATGTTCTCAGTAATAATTCGAGGTAACTTTTTTATTCATTCAATAATTTCCTTTCAGTTTCTTATTTTTTAAATAATATTGACAATTGACGACGAAAAAAAAAATTTTTGAAATTCAAAAGATTTTTAAGAAATGCCACTCACATAGTATATAGTATTATTTTTATAAGTATTTTTCATTTGTTTCTACCTATGTATATTTTAGAAAAGAAAACATGGACGGTGGTGTGAGGTTGTTCAAAAATTCAGAACAATATTTATCATGCGAGGAGCCTAAAGACACATATACAGAGTCACACAACATTAAATATAAGAAAATGAAGAAAGAAAATAGAAAACGAGATTTCTGTGATCATCAAGATCCGAGTGAGAGTGGTGAGTGGAAGTTGATCACAAGCAGTAATTTTAAAGCTTTTTACATATTAGCAGCATAGTTATTTGGCTGCATACTATTATGGGTTTTATGGGGAATCCTAAATGTTGCTCTGATCAGTAAAAGATGATAAATATACCATGTTATATTTTGTTCTATAATAATGGTCATATTATTTTAATAGTTTTGCAAACCATCCCATTTGCACTTCATACATTTCCTCCTATTGGTAAGCTATAAGGATTTGTAAAGATTTTGTGGCTATGAAGTCATACTACTGTTAATTAATATGAAAAAATAAGTATAAAAATTAAATAAAAAAAACAGAAATTAGTAATATTACAGAACCTAATAATTTGTTGAACTGTAATTAAATGTTTCCAGTCATAAAACTTTTTCAAATCGTCACATTTTATACTGAATTATTTATTTTCTTATGTTTTTATGTATCAGAAAAATTCAAGATGTCTGTGTTGAGTGGAGAGTATGTGCTGTCGAAGGTGGAAACAAAGATTTGGAAGTCCAGGCGGAAAGAGAAACTGTTCAGATATAGATCCGACGGCAAAAGCAATGTTGTTACAGCCATTGAATAAAAATATAAAACAAATGAATTTTCATTTATTTTAATTACCCTTATTACATGAGACGAAACTTCCTAGCATTCTATGGATTCAGTGTGGGTTCCGGGTACATCGTTGTAGTGAGAGGAGCTTCAATAGTGCCTGGGACTTGCGACCCAGGTGTAGGTTTAAGTCCCTATCTAACGTTAAACGCTCACCTCCACTGTCCGAGCTCCTCTCTCTACCTAACCAATTTATTTCTTGTTTAATATAGAATGTTAAGAAAAACACACATTGAAGATATAATGAAATTTTTATTATTTACAATATTTTTATCACAAATCACTGCATTAGTACTGTGTACTGACATTTTTTTTTGTATTTTTGTTCGTTTATAAACAACATAAGGTTTACACTTACATTAATAACTTAAATAAATACAAAACAACTAAGATTGTAGTGTTTAATTAACAACAACTTAACTACGTGGCTGGATAATAATTATGTGGACCCTAGAAAAGATTTTTCATCCCAATTTTTTTCTTTTTCACTCGTACGTGTTGCGAGTGAGACCGAAAATCTTTTTATTAAATATAGGCCATTGATTTTATAAGAATAAAAAAAATATAATATTGTCATCTGAAAGGGTTGCCACATATAAAATTTGTACATTTAATTAACGTCTATGAAAATACAAAGGAATTGTAAAACAGTCGCTTTAGATCGCGGCAAGAGTGATATGGAACAATTGTTCTAAATTGAAATTAAGGTAAAAAACCATTTACATAAGGAGCTTCTATTGTCTTTCTTTAATGTGACAAATTATTTTTTGTATGATAAATACATGGCTATTTTATGAATGGTTTGAAATATAAATGTACTCTAGACAATTATCACACTTGTCAATAAGCTCTTGATTTTGTTTTTATCTAAAAAGATTTCAATTCTGTCAAAAAGTGATCCATAAAGGTTTAATAATTCGTAATATTTTATTACAGTCCTGTATTTTCTTGTAAATTCCTGTTGCTTCTAAGCTCGTCGTGGCTGTATGCTTTATTGTCGAGACCCGTGGTGTTATTATCAGTTTTCTCCACCGGACCGTCCATGAGGAACATTGTAAGGAAGAATAGTATACTACCTGTTGATGAATACATAGAAAAATATTGAGCAATAAGTAGCTAGAAAACTTATTCAAATTCTTTTAAGTTTAAAATTATTTAAAATATAATATTAATTATATAATATTCTTTGTATATTAGTTATAAAGACTTTCTAATTAATTTACTTATCTGTATTTTGAAAGTCATCAATCGTTTCAACAATACTAAATGTACCTATCTAAAAAATACGTTCAGGAATTTTTAGGATACAAAAATTAATCACAAAATATAAATAAAAGTAATGTTATTTAAAAATGTCACTTACTTATGCCATAAAATCCAGCGTAAAAGATCATAATGGATTCCCTGTAGCCGATGGCTTTGGATACCGGGTCTACAAGTATGGGTAGATTTCCACCTACATTATTCATCACGAACAGAAACACACCCACGGTGGTGGATCGTACTGATAGAGGTACTATTTCTACCAGGATAGCGAAAACTATGCCGAACCACATCTCCGCTGTAAAAAAATATATTAACAATTATTTTGGCAGTATAGAGAAGACCTTTGCTTCTGTCCAAAGACATTATGAGTGTTTAAAACGTAATTTGACTTTATGGTCATCACAGAACATATACAATCAGCTGAGGAAATATAGCTATTATGATAAATATATACTCAATGAGTTCTAAATATTAATCAAATCAGAAAGGTATAATAGTTGTTATAAAAACTGTATTAAATCTTACCAAAGAAGTAGGATATGGCAAGCGTGATCATGGCCCATAGAGGTCCAAATGCGACGGAACCAAATGCAGGCAGCGTGGCTACCAGTTGAGATAGAGCCAACACGAGCACACGAGAACGAACTCCCATACGAGAGACAAACCTTAGAACGATTACAGTTTATAATTATATATACTTTACAGTAGGTAATTTAGAATTAATGTTTATATGAAAAACATATGATTAAAAATAGCATTAGAATAAAGGATTAGAAGTAAAAATATAGCATTCCAAAAATAAAATATAAGTAAAAATTATTAATCAAGTTAAATTCACTTAAACGTTTGCTAGTCTTATTCTTGCACTACTTTCTTAATTTTAAACCTAGGAACTATTATAAGCTTTGAATGCTAGTTGCTACGTCCTCTTATTAGTATTACTATATTACCAATACAATATATATAATTAAATCAGTCACTAAATTGTAGTTTTGAATATAATTTATTAATAATAAAAGATATATGTACGGTAAAATTGTTCATATTTTAGAAAAAACTAACTGTCTAGCCTAATGGGCGATATATTTTGATGTTATTTGTATAAATATAATATGAAAATGCCTTAATTAACTCACTTATCAGACACAACACCTCCAACAACCACTCCAACAGAGCCGATGACGACTGTTACAGCAAACAGCCACCAGCCTAGATCCACGTCGGGGAAATAGTCGCGATAGTACAGGTCCGAGTTGTACGCGAAGGTCATGCCACCTGGTGGAAGATTTAGTATGAAATAGGTCAAGAAGTAATGCTATGAATATCGCAAAAAACAAGGCGATATGGAAGATTCAATTAACTAAGATTTTTGTTGGTTGCATTATTACAATCTATGAGAGAAAAAATATAAAATATGGCCAAATGCATCATATGAGTCACTCCACTACAGAGGATCTATAAAAGATTTCATTAATCCCGGCCTTATTAAAATAATGAAAAAATTAGTGTTATCATTATGTCCAATTTACTTGGGCCTTCAAACTATGTTTTGTCTTCAACTTACCGCAGTGTCTAATAGAAGCTGCAAGACATAACAGCAATATCCTCGGTTGGCAAATCACGTGCCAGATTGTTACTTGGGGCATCTTCTTACCAGCCTCCAAAGTTGCATCACCACCTTTGTTGGTACCAGTACCTGATATAAAATGTACCATTTTTAGGGAAATTTCAACGTGCACTTAAAGTCTCTTTGTTATAAAACAGGGAAACTATAAAAGTTGTGCTGTTTATGTATTGGTATTAGCAATTTTAATTAGTTCTTTAGTGAAATCTTAATTAGGACAATATCGAGAAAGACTTGATGACAAGTTCTTTTAAGTTATCCTCCCATTAAAATAGAAGTCTTTGTTTATTTAATTTTTGTAGCAATCTTAATAAAAATGTATCTATTGAGTCTTTTATTCTTTTAAAAGTCGACAAACAATAAAACACAATAGACATTTAATGTTTTCAGTGTTATAATAAAAATAAATTCCCTGTAAACAAACGTCAAAGAAAAGGAAGCTTAATAGCTCTTATGTTGGAATCGTTCAAGGATTCTTGAGGAGAGATCGACAAAAATAAAAAGTAGGTATTGTGAGTAGCGGAGGTTAAACGAGGTATCATAATAGTAGGAAAAGGGATCTTAGTCGTATATAAACATACATATATATTAGACTATATATGTATATTAATATTATTACCTTCTTCACCGATAGTAGTTCTTGCAGGTTCTCGTAGTGTCAGGAATGTTAGGAGTGCAATAACAATACCAACCACACCCACTCCATAATAGCACACACGCCAACTCTATGAATACAAATAACATATAAATTAATTAATTGTTCATTTTCTTATATAAAAAGTTATATTACTAGGAAAAATATAAAAAAATTGGCTATCGACTTGTCACTAATTACGAGGACAAATTTTGACTTAGAAGGTGAGTTGGCTGATATTGAGAACATGGTAAAAATTGTTCCTCTATGCATAGTTCGGTATAATATTGACATATGGCACTGGCAAAATCTATAAGGAAACGCCACTAACTAAGAGAGAGAAAGAGAGAAAGAGAGAGAGAGAGAGAATGATGGGCAATAACTAGTATATACTCACAAGTCCCCAAGCGTTCAACAGTGGAATATAGCGTCCTACGGGGAACGCAATACCATAGCCTCCATAAATCCCCCAATTGAAAATCGACAGCACCAAGGCCCTTTGATGTTCCGGGAACAGATCTGTAAGGATCCCGGTAGCTAGAGGATTGCACCCGGACTCGCCTGCAGCCATGATCATTCGTAGCAACACCAAGTGCCAGTACTCCTTCACCCCGCCCATAACGAGAATCGCCAATACGTATATTAAGGTACAAACACTGAGGATACGAGCTCGGTTAAATCTGAAATTGTATATACATTTTCATATTGAAATCTTCCTTTATTTGGTCTATCTTGATAGTCCCATACAGTGAGATAAATTCGTTTTTGAATATCAATTCTTAAATGAATTTTTAATGAAGTAATGTAAATTAAGGCGTCTGATTTTAATCGGTTCTTAAAGTCTCTTCTTTTCTAATCTTTTCTTCCTGAAGATTTTTAATGATGTTAATGTATAGTCATAGTCTATTAGTTAATGTTTAATATATTCTGACCTATCCGCTGCGACGCCGAGTATTACTCCTACAACTGTGAAGACAGCCATATAAGCTGGTCCAGCGAGGATCTGGTAGTCGAGACCCAACCCATTGTAGCCCCATTCGCAATACTTCGTGCCGTTCAGGGTTAGAGATTCGCAGCTGGAAGAAAATAATCAGATTAATTTTGCTTTATATATAAAAATTTTAAGATAAAATTAAAAGTGGAAGATATTGTAGAGAATAAACCAAGGCTTTTTTTTTTTTTTTGGTGTCGGGTTGGAAAATCCTTCATGGAGCCCCGCCGCCCTCGGGGAAGGACGGAGGGGACTGTCAGACTCCTACTGACTAAAAACCAACCCGTGTGCCTCATCTACCCGTGTGCCGGAGAGGCGGGTATCGCCGAAGCATTCGTCGCTACCTCCCCGACAGGCATTGACCCGCCAGATGGTCAGGCGATAAACCAAGGCTTAGACATCTTGTTACTAGTCTAAATATCACAATTATTTGTACAACTTCTACTCGTATAAGGTACTTTCAGGTACACTAACATATACATGGCACACTTTTATTTATTTAAATGTATACGGTATAGATTGATTGTCTTTCCACCCGTTGGAAGGTGAAAATTAAGTCATAGCTAGTGAATATTATCTGTCTCAACCTATTCAACATTTTTTTGAGTACACCCAAATTAAAATAGAAACAAAATAAACTAATTAATTATTTCAGTAGTTTTTGTTAGTGGCAACATTTTATCAACGTATATATATTATGTAGTGTTGTTTTATTATTTTATTAAGTCTATGTTGTAACACAAGGTCGTACATTCACGATCAATAAGATGAATAATGGCTACGTGTTATCAACTTGACAACTTGACAATGTGGTTCTCATTGTCACTGTAAACACTTTTTAAAAGCTAGCTTTTATATAGACACTAGCTTTTAACGCGACTTTGTTTGCGTTTTCTTCAGAATTAGGAATGTGTAGCTGACGGGGCGAACTCGAAATTATTTATTGCATAAATAATCAGATTGTGGATTAGATTGAATTATTTTTATTATTCTTTTTCGATCCCACGGAATGAAAAGTATTCTATATCCGTCTCTTTGTTCTAAGCGACTTCTCGACTAATTTTCAGCCAAATACATTCATGGGTTATAAATGGTGTAACTAACACGACTTCTCTTTATATGTATAGATATAGGCATGCTGTAAAAATTTTCGTCTTTTTAAGCTGAGGTAGTTTATTTAACTTATTTTTCTTTATTGCAATATAGTCTACAAAGTAAAATAGTGATATATATTAGTGTCTATATACTTAGCCTTTTCAATTACAACAATGACAGAATTATAAGTTTTTGACATTTTGAGAGTATATCTATACATATAAATAAAATTGGAGTCTGTTTGTTGTATTGAAATAACCGTTTTTTATACATTCATATGAGTATATATATATATATATATATATATATATATATATATATATACCAAAGTTATATTTTTGTTTGTCTGTCCGTCTATTTGTTCCAGCTTAACTACTATTATGATTGACATAGGCTATTTTTTATCCCTATCTTGAATCTCGATCCCGAAAACAAAGGTTTTTTTTACATAAAAGGCTTTTCATTGTGTTTTTTTTACACAGACGGAGTCGTGCGTAATAACTAGTCTGTATTCTGTAATAATTTCAATGTCGTACTAAAATATTTAATAACTTGTCATAATTTTAAATTTGACAAGATTTATTGAAAAGGGATCATAATTTTCAATATAAATCTGTTTTAAGAGGTTAATGAAAATACACACGGTGGCAAGAAATGAGCAACATAACTTCAAGTTTGGATCACACTACACACGGATCATTAGTGTTTCATACATAAATATTGACACATAGTATTCTTCTTCTTCCTTGCAATTTCCCAGCTTTAGCCAGGATCTGCCTTACATGTTGTGAATAGTTTTGGCTAATCGTTTTTACGATCGGCCGCCTGCCTGACATCAATCCTCTTTGGGAATATTTACATAGTATTATTTAAGGTAATTGTTTGAGAAACATGGAATTCTTCCTATGTAATGTGATTATGCAAATTTATTACAAATATACATATAAAAATTAGTCATTAGCACTAATGAAAAGCGACTAAAATTATTATTTATTGATAAATAACTGTTTAAATTATTTCGTTAATCTCCTATTAAAATTTAAACTGCGGTCTGTGTTTAATTAAAATGACAATCAACGTCATCAAGGTCGCTTGTAGCTGGTGGCCGTAAAATGAGTTCTATTGAGCTTAGTCATCGATATATTGAACTTGACGACATACAAGGCCGAGCTTTAATGTAGTTTCTGATAAATGGCAGTATTTAATATTATTTTATTGTTTTTTTTTCTAATTAAAAATATTACTGGCCGGTAATATGATAGATGGTAATTTTTTTTATTGTTTATTTTTTTTTCTAATTAAAAATGTTACTGGCAGGTAATAAGCATATGTCATATGACATCGGAAACTATAGAAAAAAAAATGTAGAACTGTAGCTGTCATTTTGTCAAAATTATTCAATTTCTAAACTTAGTCTTTATTATGTGGAAATTAAGTCGTGTTTTGCGATTTTATTGATGTATGTATATTGGTAAGTTAGGCAAAAATTAATTGATTTTATTAGTTAGAGAAGAAAAGAATTCAATGAACAGGACATATTTATTTGCTACATCCGGTTCTACAAAGTCACACGAGACAATTACTTGTAATATTATGTATAAAGCATATAGAATACATTAAGTTAAGTGATATTATCAATTAGTAATGCAATTTTCCAACACATTTTCTTATATAAGTAATGACGTATTAAAATCCGGGATATAAAAAAAGGACGGTTATTTTATTATAGACAAAATGTTAATAATAATTGAACTTTTAAATCATTATGGTTGCCATTAAGGTAAATAATTTTCATCAATCATGTGGTTTGCTTGTGCGTGCGGTTCGCGGTAAAGATTATTGGTTGAAAAATAAAACATATTTAATAAAATCAAAGGGTAAGAGAATAGGCATTAAATTTGAAAATGAATAATTATTTTCTGTTTTTTTTTAAATAATATTGTCTACATTTTAAGTGTTGCCAGTTTCTGAGAATTGGAATAAGTGCAAAGTTAATGAGATGGCAATGCTCTCCTTAGGAAGTATATGTAGGAACTAGGACGCCATTAATTCTTGGAAATAAGTCTTATTATGTACGGCTTGGCAAGTTATTACGATGCAAATGAAGGTGCAATTTATATATAATCACTAGATTTTATATATATGTAAAAGATTAAGTAAGTATATCAGATCAATTTCGTCAAAGATATTATAAATAAAGACATGAAATTAAATGACTGTTTTCAATTGTCTTATGTCATCGTTCTGCCATCTTTAATTTTTTTTATTATTTATCGTCGCTTTAATAAAGATGGATGCTGCTTTTAATTGATACATGAAATTTATTTGATGATATCGTCATATTTAGTGGAATGGCCGTATTTAATTTGAGTCATTTTTTATTGTACTGTTGCAAGCTTCTGTATACAATGCGCGAGATATTTTATTAACCCTACAGCTGTTCTTGTTATAAAGAGTGTAACTAACACGACTTTCTTTTAATATAATATATAAATTCATGTACCTTAAACAACATAAGCCTTTGGTTTGTGTATAATATATTTTTAATACATTACATACGACTGGCCAATTTTAAAGAAAATTATCAAGATTAAGAATCATTTGAATAAAAAACTCAATACTTACACTGTCTAAGTAGTTGATATAAAGTCGTATTAAACTTATAGTATTTTTAAACTATTAATTTATTATGTAACATGTGTGGGAGAATAGGAAGTTAAAATTTTTTACTCATTCTCTGTTTAAAGTCCAAAAGCATTAAAAAAAGATCCGCTATAATCATGTAATTAATCATAATAAAAAAGGTTTTATATATTAATTCCGATTCAGCAAGTGTGTATGATAAAAAATATTTTAATTCCGATTCAAGATGTGCTATTTTAGAACCTCTTTTTACGGTAACCGTCTGTTTAATGGTAATAAAAATAAATAAGAAAAAATAAAACATTATTTAACACTCGATTTTCATTCAGCGAATAGAACGGAAAAAGAAGAATAGAACAGTAAAAGAAGGCTTAAATCAGAATTGCAATCAGAGCCGAAATGCAATTCAGTTACCTATATAGTGCAATTCTACTAACTATTTTTTTATAATTGTATTAATATACTAACATTTCGCTCGAGTTGACTTTCTCACATACTACAGGCAGTTGACTTAATGTTAGATGTGTAGCGTTCAGCATACACGACTTGTCACCATAATGAAGGTCATCTGCTGTCAGCTTCGACGTGGTACCTGGATAAACATGTCAAAGTTAGATTATATCGAATAAGATATTGAATTGACATTGACATAATGACATTGGTAGAATATAATGACATTGACATAATGACATAGGCAGAATATAATGACATTGACATAATGACATTGGCAGAATGTACTGACATTGGCTGAATATTCCACGATCCTAGTGCGAGTGACGCCATGGTAAAAAAAAAGTATATGACATTATTTCATAAATCACTCCATATTTCGTTGTCTTGCCACAATTAACTTTAGCAATTTCATAATATCTAGCTGTCAACTTTCAATAGTGTTAAAATCACAATAACGATAATGGAATCAAAGTCACTTATGAATAATCAAAACAAAATTATGACGGATGCCTCAATTTAGGATATAATGGGGCCTCGACAGGGCTTTAATATTTTAATTGGACAAAATAATTAATAATTTATATTTATTAGCCTAATAAAAACTGAAGGTCAAAGTCTCTGTTAAATATTAACATAAAAATTATTGTTTAAAAAAAAACTATTAACATCTGTCATTAATTAGTTGGTACGTAACAATTATTTCTGTGGAACGGAATAATAAAGATGCAGTGCATTTTAATTATTTAAGATCCTTCCATCATACTGGCATATGTTACAATGCAGACATAATTTTTAGTACATATATAAAGTATTCCAAAAAATATAATTCGATTTTTCTCTTATATTAACCCATTGATATTCACAATTACAATTTTACATGAGATTTCAGTAACAAAGTTGTCATTGCTTTTAACTTAAATTCGTTGTATTATCATCATCAGCCTATCAGAGCCCACTGCTGAGCAAGGCCTCTTTCTCACATGGAGAAGGTTTGAGCATTAATCACCACGCTTGCTCAAGACGGGTTGGTGATATGTTTATTTGATATTGTATTCGTTGTATAGATTAAAATATTATAATTTATAAATCAATATAGAAAATCTATTGGTATTAAACACAATAATTATTTGCATATTATATACAATGAATAAATATAATAAAAATAAGAACAAGTAAAGTTTTATTACTGACTATAAAAAAGATGATACCACATCGAATTGAACTACAGATAATTATTACTTACAAGTTTTAAATGGAAAAACATATGATGAGTTTCTTTGAACATAGACTCTGATAGTTTTGTTACGTACGCGCTACATCCCTACTAATATTATAAATGCGAAAGTAACTCTGTCTGTCTGTTTGTTACGCTTTCACGCCTAAACCACTGAACTGATTTTAATGAAATTTGGTACAGACATAGAGTTGACCTTGAGAAAGAACATAGGATAGTTTTTATCTCAGACTTTGGAAAGGTTTTCTTGGAAACGCGATATAACGGATATCCACGCGGGCGAAGCTGCGTGCGGAAACTAGTATTGATATATAAAAGAAAATCGTCGAGGCAACATCTTTGTATGGGTAAAATATCATTTAACGAGTGACGTTCCTGACTCCGCGGAACGAACACCAAGCCGTGTAAACCAGAAGATTCCTGATACAACATAAGCTATGGAATGGTATTGCTATCCTATCATCGGGGCAATCATGTAGTCTTAGATATAGCTTATAAGTTATATGTAATATGTAATTCTCATTATCATATACATAAGTAAGTTTAATTTTCCTGGAACCTCCGGTTGCCACCCAATATAATTATTACTCATATATATTTGTATTTTAGTTAAACTTGGAAGTGTTTATTTTATGACTTAACTAGTATTAAGTTAAATAAGTACGTCAAAGACCATGAGATTTAGAGCAAGACGTGATGAGGTCATGTGACACGTTTGATATATTTTAAACTTATCTCCTTTTATCCTAATGGTAAAATACTTAATAAAAGTGCTTACATAATGTATACACTTAGAATGATGTATATAATTAAAAATTATTATAAATTCATATTTAAATAGAGCTATAAATGTACAAACATAAATTACAAAAGTAATATAACTACTAATTAAATTTAAATTTTTAATTAAAGTGATATTGAATGTACTATGATGTCATCGTCTATTGTGAGTTGCTATTTTTAAATCTTAAATTTATCTTAAGTCTATTAGAAGCCCACTGCTGAGCTGCCTTTTCTCACATGGAGAAGGTTTGAGCATTAATCAGCACGCTTGCTCAAATCGGTTTGATGATTTCGAAATTATAATTTGATATTACAAGTCCAGGTTTCCTCACGATGTTTTCCGTAACCTATCAGTGGTGTATAATACTCTTAGAAAGTACATATGACTCGGAAAAATTCATTAGTATTTGCCAGGTTATAAAGAGTACGTTTTATATACCGATGAATGTCATCAATGAAAAGTAACCATTTTTCGAAGACCCTTCTAGGATTTACGTAATATATTTATGCACACGTGAAAGCCGTCAATAAGAGTAACCAGTTTTAAAAGACCCCTCTAGGGTTGTAGTAATATATATTTATTATGAAGGTGTATGTATTTTCTTACCAATAAGATAATGTCCAAGTTCACCAAGTATGTAGCCGACCGATACAAGACCGAGGACGTACCACTTGTAGAAGCTCTTCAGCTTAGTCCATATGCCTCCGTGGAACATTTTTAATTCTGAAACGATATATAGAATTAATATATATAATAATTAATTTAGTTTAACGTTGAAGATTTATTTGTTTTTTTTTTTTGTAATTAAATCATTGTTTTGAGCAATCATGCCCATTGGTTGTGTTTTAAAGATGATATAATAAAAGTCGATATTCAAGTCTTTGTAATATTTTATTTTCATTATATTAAAAACAAACTTGTAAATGATTAGGAAAAGATTTATCGATTTAATTAGCACAAATATGATTAAAATTTATTGTACATATAATATACATGGCAACGATTATTCTAAAAAAAAAACACCTATTTTGACAATGACAATGACTTTGAAAAGACACAAAATGACGGAAAACTTTTTGACGTTAATAGTTTTACGTTAACCGAAAGAAATAATACCGTAATTATTACTGTAAATTACAATGTCATATACGTGAGAGTTAAAAAACTTTGTCACAAGTTTAACCACATTACGATTTTTGGGACTCCTTGTTTTACATGTAAAAAAATAAGCTTACTTAAATTCAGAAAGGAAAGAATGTTAAATCAGAATTAGCCTAAAAATTTCAGGTCAGAAAATAAATAAGCAAAAGATTTCGTTTCAATTAACTTTAGTCATTTGGCAAATGCTTATTTTATACAAACTCGGGATCTTGACATGTTTCTTAATAAATTAAAATAATATTTTTCGTATACAACGCGATTTTTATTAATCAAAAACTACATACTCCCGACGTTTCAGTTACTTTACAGCAACCGTAATCATTAAGACGAGATGTTACATAAGTACATCCGAAAAATATTAGTTTCATTTAAATGAATACTCGCGAAATCTTAAATCTTGATACCCAAAGAGAGTTGATGTCAGGCAGGCGGCCGGTCGTAAAAACATTAGCCAAAACTATTCACAACATGTAAGGCAGAGTCTGGCTAAAGCTGGGAAATTGTCAAGAAGAAGAAGACTCTCGAAAATCTTAGATCTCAATATAATCTTTAGTGTCCATTGTCATCAAAATGTATATTAATTAAATTGATATTAATAAATGCAAGCTTCGTGCTACAAGCTGTTTGTGCTGTATCATAAATTTTGCTAGATAGCATCTTGCATGACGCGATATCTTGTAAACTAAGCAACTTATCTACTCACGCATTCATTATGAAGATCTTAGTTGGTCAAGATTTTTCTAAGCTATACTCTCCTCTATATAAAATAATTCATTTTCTATACTTATAAGAAATATGTAATTTTTGCCCGCATAAAATCTTTTTTTAACTACATATAAATATATGTCTTTCATTCTGATATTAATCAAATATTTATTAAATTAATTAAAACTACACGTATTTAACTTTATTAGAATAAAATAAACAAGCCCGTGAACTTGACTTTTAAATGTTGGATCATCGCTAGCAGTAATTACGTTCAGATTAATTACACTTCCTTATTCGATACGCAACTGTTTGACTAATGAGAATTTTTAAATAAATGGAACTTATTGCGAGTTATGAATCAATTAACTCGGCATAATTAACTCTGTATTGAAATAAATACACGACTTAGCTATGCTTTATTTTTAGCATGGATAACTAATAACAATTGTAGTGTTAAGAGTTTTTCTTATTTGTTTAGAAGCATGCTATTCGAAATTTAAATCTATCAATGAGTATATTCAAAATAGTTTCTATATGTTCCATTCAAAATAGTTTCTATATGTTTAAACTCTTTGGTTGCAAACGGCTTTTTGTGGGATTCAATTATAAATTGAATTAGTGACGCTGTTGCGTTAGGCAAATTTAAGGAATAACTAAATATTTTGTGTCTGAAATAAACAAGTCACGAAAAACACTTTAAATACACGTCAGGGACGGAAAGAAACGATTTAACGCCGGATCCGGAGACAGATAACGTAATTTTTAACTTGGATATGTCTAAAAATGTATTTTTTAAGCCCTTCAAGCCTTGAATACACACACGATTATCTATATGTATTTGACATACATTATTTGAAGCGGCTAAAGCTGCTGAAAGATATACTCGTACTTGCTTCTAATAAAAAACTATAAATTTAAATCAACATTATTTATTGAAGCGTCTCAAAAATCAAAATACGAAGGACAATATTTTGCATCTTGCTAAGGTCATGTTTTGAAATCAAACATAATTGGGTAATAAAATTACCATTTTTTTATATATATTTTCGAATTAAATATTTGTATAATAAAATCAAGGATTTTTCATAGTATCAATTAATAAATACGGTTTGAGTTGTCTCGTTATGTTATTAATTATTATATGAAATAGATTTGCACTTGACTGTATCCTGCTAGAAAGGTCTAGGTTCGAATCCACGTATAAAGATTATATACATATATATACATATTTAGTTTATAAAGGAAGTACTTAATAATAAGACAATTTTTTCAGTAGTTGCAGCAAAAAATAGGTATACCTTTTTTTTGGTTGGACGGCTCGTAAAAAAAGTTTCCCTACGTCATGAAAAAAAAGTATACCTTTTTTTCCCTCTTGCCCCACCTACTACAAGAGGGCTCAATGATATTTATCTCCTTTAAAAAAAAAGTAGGTATACCTACATAATTGTAATATACGTCATATTCACCAATATCATCAAAATCATCAAGAATTTTATCCCCCATATATTTCATAATAATTTTTAATATATCTAATATTTTTTGTTCCACTGTACGTAGGTACATTCGACATGCGTTCGTTTTTATGAAATCGATTCCGTACGCGGAAATGTTTCTTAACCTTGAATGTATCTATTTAAGTTATTTGTGAACTATTAACATATACATACTGACACAATAACATATACATATATATGTCGAGAAGGCTCCAGTCTAAGTGCTCATGTATGCTATACTAAGTTTAATAATCACTACATACGTATTAATAGTTTTCCATTCATCAATCATCGTTCTTGTAAGTACTATTTAATTACAGTATATAAACCTATTTGGTAGATTTAAATTTAAATTAAAAAAGAAAAAACTTTTTATTATCTATGGAATCAAACAAAAATTAATTACAATCATTATATAAACCTCTTTGGTAGATTTAAATTAAAAAAATATATATTATCTATGGAATCAAACAAAAATTCATTAATTAATTGCGTAATAATATGAAATTGTTTTAATATTTTATTACAAGATTTATCTCCGAGCTAATCATTACGCCGGCCGTCGTTCGTGTATTGATTTATATGGTTTTTTATTTTAAATATAGGTCAATTCATTATTTGCATAACCTTGTGAAATAATATTTCCGACAGTATATATTACTTGTAGCATTATATACTTGTCCTTATATTTGCATATTTATTCATATCTTTTGTTTTACATAATAATAACTTTGATTGGTATATATTAAAAAGATTTCTTATAATTAAAATCACATTTTAATTTGGAATAGAACGTAATCATATAAAGCTATTTATTATAGGGATTGATTATAAATTAATTTTTATAACGCCGTTCGATTCAAGCAACATAAATGTCTTAAAACACATTGTTGCATATAAATTGACATTAACATGTACTTAATGTAACACCCGGAAGGTCATTACGAAATAAAAATGTTAAGGCAGGCGGAATTAAAATTTTGGACAGTACATAATTACGAAACACATTCTAACATTGATACTTTGGTAAGTCAAATGAAATTGACATTTAACATTCTAAGAACATGTTCTATTTGAGTTGCGTAAAAAAATAGAGAATTTTATTCTGAAAACGTATTTTCTAACAGACATACAAGAGGAATTGAATCAGTATGTACATTCTTTGTGATACAAATTTCACAATACGATCAACGTACGAACAAACGACGCTTTACTCTATGGTATATTCTATAGTCTATAGTCTATGCAATAAAATAGATTCTACGTATATTGTATTTATGTAATATCAGTAATTATATGATTGTAAAACAATAATTGTAACATGATTTTTTAATGGTAAACTATACACGTCATTTAATATAGACAATGAACAATGCCCGCGGGTCACCGCTGAGGTGTAGAACTCGGTCAGGGCTGCCAGTGTACTTCATGATAGACTCGGTTCACGCGGGAAAATGTGGCATTCATCTACATATAATTTTCACTAAGCATATATTATTTTAAATTAATTATAATATATGAATTATTAATTCAATAATCCATTAGTTTACATTGATTTTTTTTTATTTAATAAAGATGAAAAACAAGTTTATTTAATAGAAGCCATTTTCAAATATCAAATGTTTTTATTCTTCAGAACAATGAATCTATTTGTATGGAACGTATTGTTAAGATTGTTTACCATTATTCTTTTTAGTTATCTGTTAAAGAATACTTATACTAAATAACTTTTGTTTGGTTATTGTTTAAGAGATTTAAGGAGAAGTTTATTTAAAAATTGTTACAGCTTTATTGACAGTTGATATTCAACTTAAACATGGATAGAATAAAGTTCTTAATCCAAGAGCGAATAATTTTAAAGTTACGCAAAAATTTCGGTATTAATTCAATTTTTATCAATACTGCGTCATCGTTCGTATCCTAAGCACGAATTTCCGACTTACAACATACGTAGCGTTCGCAGTTCATTCATAAATATTCACATTTGTTAGTATGGGCAAGGTTACTTGTTGTGTCATACTTGTAGTAAGATTGAATGTCACAAAATCGAGAGGTCAAGATTCAATGAAACTCTTACTAATATATGAATGGGTCCTATGTATTTTAACCATGTTCATTTTGTTGCTGTAAACACTTCGTAATACTGTATTCTACAATATCCATTAATCAAGGCGTATTTGTTGGTGGGAAGACTTAGTTTTTATTGCAATAAAACGCATAAGTAACACTTTTTAACGTGTAAAACTAGTACGTTTAAAATCAAAGTTTATCAAGCTTAAATAACGTACATGTTTATCATATGTAGTTGCTATGCAAAGTTTCAAAAGCATTAGTCGCATGTACAAGATACATT